TTGGATATGGTACTAGGCAGGAAGAGTCATCAAAATACTTTGCTAGCTATGGAAAGAAAAAGAAAAGGGCCTGGTAAGACAGGATAAAAGGAGTAATGGATGGCTTTGCAGCCCCAACTGAAATTGCATAAAGTGAATGCATGTTTGTAGTTTATTTTCAGCAGGGCTTGGCACTTGGGAGTGATGGAACAGAGAGGGTAGAATGATATAGTAAATCCCCTTTGGGGGATTTGTGAGACAAGTGTAGCAAAACAATGAAGCAAAGGGCTTGAGACTACATATAAATAGCAACCTATCAAGTTTTTCTGTGTGGGGAAGGGTGGCTTTAGGTAAGATAAGAGAAGGTAGAGCTAAAAAGTGGTTGTAAATGGGAGAATAAGTAAGGGTTAAAGGTCTCAGTGAAACTATGTAAAATAGGAAGAAATGAACCTATAGTCAGAATATTTGCATTAAAGATATTTAAATATGTGTATTTCAAGTAACTGGTACTTTAGATAATTGTTTTTAATTTAAAATTTTAATTTCAGAATGGTTTTGATTTGTATGATTTGCCATTAAGTCATGATCACATATCTGATAGGGTTGATCTTTTGCTTAGTATTTGTCTTAATCTGTTTTTATTTATTGATAAACTTGTTGCCTTTTATTGTTAGCTCCTCAGGAAAATATGTTCTACCTGCAGTTACTATTTGATGTCATGATTTCCAAAAACAAAGTATAAAGATTTATTATACAAAGAGGTGATCAGTTTGAACTGAATTTTAGAAAATTTCTGCCCTCTTAACTGTTCAATAGGAAGTGGAGCTCTCATATAGTTTTGGGTTTTCAATCTTTGGTACGAGTGAAGCCTTACAAACATGCAGATGCCTAGTTCTCAAATTCAAAGCTACTGAGTCAGGTGTGAGTTAGGTCTAGGTGATGTGTAACTTATTAAAATTCTACAAATACAACCTTAGCTAATGTTGAGAAAGGACTTTTTGTAGTGTTCCTTGAGAATATTTATAGTACTTTGAATAGGCATTACGTTTCAGTTTATAAATGCAGTATTGGATGCCTTAAAAACTAATGTAAACATAAATGGACAAGTTGTTAATAAATATGAGTGAGTTATATTTGGACATTCTTTTATTGTTAATACTCATAATGATATTCCTTCAGAAAGGTGGTGCCAATTTAATGATCATTTTTGATCACCAGTAATCAGTATACAAATAATTCTCGACATCCTTAACCAACACCAAGCATTGTTTACAAATCAGCTCATTGATTAAAAGACAACTTTTAATTTTTTTACCAATAGGACTTCACTGTATGTGTTTGGAATGCATTCTCTTTTTATAGTTAATGATGAATTCTAAAGAAGTAAGGGTGTGGGGAAGCAGCTTAGTAGTCCTCCCACCCTTCCCTTTGGTCTCTCCTTCAGTTTCTTCTTCCCATTCCAGTTATGATCAGTGCCAGCTACTGCCTCATGTTTGCACTTTCTTTGTAGATGGTAGTTTTTAACATCTGTTCTACTGTAATACTCAAATACGGATCTCATTTGGGGTGGTTTCTGTTCAGGAGAATCATATCAATTTATTAGAGGGTTATTGGGATTCCTTATTCTATTGTAATAACTTCCTCTTTATGGAAAATAGAGATAATTCCTAGGGAGAATAGCCATCATCAACCCCAGTTTGAAAATACAAGATGTAGGCCAGCCAGTGACATGGTGGTTAAGGGGCTCGATCCACATGGGTGACTGCATGATTGGAGTCCTGGACCAGCAGCTTGAAACCCACATCAGGGAAGTATGCGTGTATGCGTGTCCAAAATCCAGAAAGGACGGAAAAGTGGAGAATGGATTGAGGTGTGACCATCCCCCCATGAGGATAGTGCTTTCTCACTTTCCTTCTCTTTTTCTCAGGCAAGCTCACATAACCTCCAACAAATTTATTTATTTTTTAAAGAGAAAACGTACACACACACATACACACACACACACACACACACACACACACACACAACTTAGAGAATCAGAACTAGCAGTCGATGTGTAAGTTGTTACAACATAATTGCATTAATTAGTTTGGCTTTAAAAAATTTTTTAGATTAAGAATTTAAATTGTTTGGGTTTTTTTTTTTTGTTTTTTGTTTTTTGCCTTTTTATAAAATAGGGTTCATAGAGCTGGTTCACTAGGGTTATAAACTAAGTTTGAGGATGTTACTCTGATGACTCAATTGTTGAAAAACAATAAAGACCATATAGAAGTTATGCTTATACTTGAACTCACATGAGCATAGACTGGCATATATTTGCCATCAAAATAAACTTTGAGTGCCTACTATCTGCTAAATAAGTTAATTAAATCTTTGTGATTCAGGCAGAAAAACAAGTAGAAATCGAGGAGGCAGGAGTAGTGACAACAGCAACAGCATCTGTTAATCTAAAAGTGAGTCCTAAAAGAGGACGACCTGCAGGTAGGATTACTGATATTTAAATATTTGTTTGGCTTGTGATTAATATTCTGATTCATTAAAGTGTTGCTGCCTCAAGTATTTTGGAATGAAGTGAGAGGCAATTGATTATGTGTAACATACCAATTTCAGCGTAGATAAACATGGTTTCTGCTCTGTTTAACAAAGTGTTTAACTTTGAAATAATTGTGACTTTTTTTCATTTTGTTTTATCCCATTTTCCCCAAATAGTGGCAAAAGAGGCTGTGGTGAGGTTAAAATGACCATGAATAATGGGTTTGTTTTACATCTCACTTATGAAGCATGAACTTTCTAAATAGTCATAATCAAAGAGTGAGAATAGCATTTAATTAGTTAAGCCACTAATATTTTAAATTAGTGCATTCTTTATTAAGATTTATAATATTTAGCTTTCTTCAGCATTGTGTAATTTCTTAATTTGGCAAATTGGAAATATTTTGGAAGATTCTTCCTAATACAAAGTAAAATAAAGGTAACTGAAATAAATCTAATTTTTTTCTATTTCATATGAGAGTTCTTAGTGAAGAGGAGAAAAAAGGAATTGAGAATTTAGATTTTGATAGTGTTGTAATGGATAAAATGAATGATGTTAGAAAACTTGGTGACTTCTGATACAAACTTCCAAATATGTGTGAATGTATATATAATATTGCTACTTTCTACTTTGATGTTGGCTTAATGACATTAAGACAGCAATGAAACATGTTGTTTTAAGCCCTTTCAGCATACTAAGGACAAATGAAAATTATTAATCTACCTCTTTAAATTTCTTGCTGTTGCTCATTTGAACCATGAGGAGGAGGTATTATTTTTAAAACTTATAATTGTATCTGTACTAAGTCACTAATATTTTTATGTAGTATATATCATTTGTAATCTTTATATGTGAGATTTGTATCTTTAAAGGAAGCTGGTAGTTACTAATTTTTTTTTTCCTCACATGAATATTAGCTACAGAAGTCAAGATTCCAAAGCCAAGAGGCAGACCCAAAATGGTAAAGCAGCCCTGTCCTTCAGAAACTGACATGTGAGTTTATTTTTAATGTATAATTTGTTATACAATAAAAGAGACATCTGACTTTAAGCAAGCATATATATCTGCATTTTTACCAGCTTTCTCTTATTTCTCATGATGGTGTGTACTATTTTTAATATTTCTAAAAATGATGGGAAACAGCAAAAATTTTGTAAAAAGTAAATATTAGTAGGGAATTGAGGAAACTATGTGGTTATCATTTCATTAATTAAGATATTTTTATTTATTTGTTTTTTATTGCCAGACGGTATGTGTTCTCCCCAGGGTGTGAGGATGAGAGAAAGAACCTCCCAGCGGGGCATGGTCTGGTCAGACCATGATCCTTTTTCCTAATTCTCCATCCTGTCAGGGTTTGAGGCATGCTTACATGCGTTCAGCGTGCTTTTCCTTTTTTAAGCCATTGGATCCAGGACTTGAACCATGGTGTCAACCATGTGGGATCTAAAATGCCTTAATTTCTACGCCACCTGCAGTCCCTCCTATTATGTTTTTCAAGTGCCAGACCCAGAATTTGAATCACAGTTGGCTATGTAGACTCCAAATCCTACAGTATAGTGCTTAAGCGCTGCCCTACAGCCCAAGACATTTCTTGTATATTAAGATGTAAAGATATTAAAAGTACAAGGTAGAATCTATAAAAGGGAAATTAGGCAAGAAAGTATAGGGTTTTTTGGGACAGGGTAGAGGTTTTTTCCTTAGGGTGTGTGTGCTTGGCTAGAGAGAGAGAGACAGTGAGAGGGAAAGTGAGAAATCATCCCTTGGAGGGGATGGCTATGTCACAATCCCTTCTTCAATTTCCTCCCGGATCTTGGGCACGCACTCACCACGCACCTTGCATCAGTTTCAAGCAACCAAGTCCAGGACTCAAACCATGGTCAGCCATGTGGGAGTCCAGTGATGTAATTGCTATGCCATCAGCTGGCCCCCAGGTAGTATAATATTTTAACAAGCTTTAGACGACTATATTTAAGCAATGTTCACAAATCAATCTTAGCCCTTCCCAAATTGATACTAATACTAGAAGTTACGTTTGTGGTATAAATTTACTATTTTAAAATATATTGGAATGATTGCCTAGTTACCAGAAAATTAAGTGCTTCCTCCCAACCCTGGCACTTTTCTACTTATGGATCTTGTCATTTTGGCTTTTTTGGAGAAATTGCACCAGAAAAAAATGTATATATATTTAAGCAAAGAGGGAAAACTTTGTGGCTATTTTGTTTAAGGATAGTAGAGGTTCGGCTCCAAAAGATACGAGGACTGGGGCTACAGGTGGCATGGTGATTGAGAATGCTGGACTCCCACACAGCTAACTGCATTTTGGGTCCCAAACCTGGCAGCTTGCTTTCTCATTTTCTCTCTCTGTTTCTTTCTCTTTCTCTGATCAAAATAAAATAATAATGATAATGACAAATAAAGTTAAATAAAATAACTCTTTTAAAAATGGTTCTCTTTTGGGACCAGCAGTTGGTGTAATGGCTATGTCGCTGGACTCCCATGTAGTCGACTGCGATTTGAGTCCCGGACCCAGTGGCTTAAACTCAGTGCCGGGCGCATGTGCATGTGTGCCCAAGATCCTGAAAGGAGAATGGAGGAGAAGGGACTGTGGCGTGGCCATCTGCCCCTGGGAAGTGATTTCTCGCTTTCTTTCTCTCTGTTTCTGTCTTTCTGGCGAGTGCACATGCCTGACAGCAAAAACCTCTCAAAAAAATTTTTTTAAATGGTTTTCTTTTAGAAAACAGGTATAAGGACTAAGCTGAAGATTGTTAATTAAAAATGGATTTACAGTGTTTTCAATGAACTGATTATTGTTATAGGATATTTAAATTGCAGAACACTACTTGCAGTGTTGGTACTTTTAACTATTGGGTCATCAGAAAAGTCATGACATGTTTTTCTATGTTTTTCCATTCAAAATTGCATCATGGCTTTTCTGAGGATCCAATAAAAATACATTTTAAAAGTTTTATTTTACTGCCAAGTTAGATGTTAACTCTAAAATAGTGGTATTATGACAAGAGCAATATACTCTATACCAAAATTCACAGAGTAGATTTAAAGGCTCTCAGAATTTATGGGTTTAACCATTCCATAGTTTATCCATATTATCAAAAACATCACATTGCACACCATAAATAAACGTGACAGTTTTAACTTATCAAAAACATTTTTAGGGTTATAGGAGTTGTATCCAATATGGCCAACTTCAGTTCAAATCCTGGGCCCAGTGGCTTGAAAAACATGCCAGGCACATGTGCATGTGTGCCCAAGATTCTTTTTTGGAGAAATTTTTGCTATAGGGCGCGTGTGCTCGCCAGACAGAGAGAGACATAGAGACAGAAAGCAAGAAATCACTCCCCAGGCGTGATGGCCATGCCACAATCCCTTCTCCTCCATTCTCCTCTCGGGATCTTGGGCATGCATGCACACGCATCCGGTGTGAGTTTTAAGCCACCGGGTCCAGGACACGAACCATGGTCGACTACGTGGGAGTCCAGCGACATAGCCATTAGGCTAACTGCTGGTTCCCTGTGCCCAAGATTCTAACAGGATGGAAAAGAAGGGATTGTGGCATGACCACACCCCATTTTTCCCATCTCTCTGTCATTTTCTATGTGCCTAAAATCCTGAGAAAGGATTAGAATGTGGTCATCCTCCAAGGGATGATTTCTCACTTTTCCTATCTCTAGTGAGCACACACGCCCTTTGGCAAAAGAATATTCTTCAAAAAAAAATTATACATATACAACTGGCTTAAAAAGTACATGGAGGACCAGTAGGTACGTAGGCATTAAAGTGCTGGACTCCCATAGGTTTGACTGGTTTGAGTCCCAGACTTGGCAGCTTGAAAATTATGCCAGATGTATGTGTGTGTGCACGCCCAAATCCTGAGAGAAGAATGGAGAAGGGATTGCAACATGGCCATTCCCCCTGAGGGTGATTTCTCTCTCTCTCTCTCTCTCTCTCATTTTTTCCACATGCCCCTATGGCAAACAAACTTAAAAAAAAAAAAGTACAACATGGTTAACATGATGTAAAGAAAATAAGAAATTAAGTGGTTACAGGTGGTTTGTTTGCATTCATTGTTCTCTAGGAAATCTGAAATTATGCTGGGAAAATACTGAGAGACACCTACCTACCGCCTTTTTGAGTATAAGGGGTGTTCCCTTATTAGGGCCCAGTTTTCTCTGATAGTATCCTTCCTAATCCACTTGTCTCCATGAATTTTGGCTTTTTCCTCTGGAAGTTCTCTTCTTCAGTATCATATTTTGTTGTACCTGAAAAAAAAATCACTGGAAAATGCTGCTCTCATCAGCTTAATACTTTCTCACTTTGTTTTCAGACTACAGAGTGTTGAGGTCCCAACATTCCTTTTTAGATTTCATTTTCTGGTGGCACTTTCGGTAATAGGATATTGTGCATGTTTAATTCTAGTCGGTTTTATGTGTAATAGTTGCAGATAGGCTTATCTTTTATACTTAATTACATGCATTTTGAATTTATATGTTTTCCTAAGAAACTGCCTCTTGGAACCATTTGTCAATCAAATTCTAAGGTAGCTCAGTTTGAATTCCTAAGGCTGGCAGCTATGCCTTTGATATTATATCTTTGATCCTAGATTGTTTCTGAATTTGGAAATCATTTCCATATTTGAGTTACTAATATGCAATCAAATTTATCTTGGTAGCAGTCATCTCAGTTACAAATATGCTCTCTTAAAACATCTTCACCCCAAACTACAAGTTCATTGAATACATTTTCTTTGTAGTTATCACAGTTTATCAGTTTTTACCCATTAAATAGTAATATGTTAGGGTTTTCCATTTCCCAACCCAAAAGTCAGTGCTATGTTTTAATTTTTGTTCCTGGCATCAATTTCTGTATTACTGAGCTTTTTGCTGAGGCAATAGACATTCCTAATGTAATATTTCTTTGCATGTAGGCTGGCTCTTGGCTATAAGCCTCTCTTGTCTGTGTGTGAGCACACACACACAGTGGAATGCAGAGTTAAACTATAGGAGCTCTTTGGAAGCATCTGCTTTTCTTCATAATAGCATATATCTCTTGGTGACTGCTTTTTTTGCAGTGAGTACTGAGATGACAAGACAGAATAGAGGCCAGAAGAGCTAAAAACCAACCCAAAGTATTCATTTATATTAGTATTTTTTTAATTTTAATATATATTTAAAGACTTAAGAACTGTACAAATACAATTTTCCCAATATCCCTTGACCTTTAAAGGGTAAATTCTCATAAGTCTATTTCATGGAAGGAGGGAAGGAAAGAACCACTGGGAAAAAGAATCGTCTGTAGCAAATAGTGATAATTGTGTTCATGGGAATTCTTTGCTTTGACACTATTTAAAGATATTGGGGAAAATAAATCCAAAAAAATCATCTGCATGGTATTCTGTGTATTATAAGTTTTAAAGACCTGTTCCATGTATGGACACATGCTTTTAAAAACAATGCCAAAAATTGAAAAGTAAAAACATTGCCATGGGCAAGTAGGTGGCATGGTAATTAAGGCAGTGAATTCCCACGTGGCTGACCATGTTTTGCGTCCTGGAACTGGTCGCTTGAAAAAAAATCACACCATGCACATGTGCGTGCATACGTGCCCAAGATCCCAGGAGAATGGAGGGAAAGGGATTGCAGTGTTGTCATTCTACTGGGAGGTGATTTCTTACTTTCCCTCTCTTTCTCTGGTGAGCACATGCACCCTATGGCAAAAACCTACCCCCCCCCCAAAGAATTTGCACATATTGTTTTGTACCTATGCAAATATATTGATTTAGGGCACATTGCTATGAGCAGGTATGCTAAATCAGGGCATTTGTGGTTTTTTTTAAGCTTCATTTATTTTGTTATTTTTAAAATTTGACTAGAGAGACAGAGAGAAGAAAAGATTTTTGCATTATAGTATGTGTGCTTGCCAAAGAGACAGAAGAAAGAATTCACCCCCCGGGGGGGGGGCAGGGTGGCCAAAGCACAGCCCCTTCTTTATTCTCCTTTCACGATTTTGGGCGTGCACACACACACGTGCCTGATTTGATTTTCAAGCTTCCAGGTCCAGGATTTATACTGTGGTTGACTACATGGGAGTCTGGCAGCTTAACCATTATGCCATCTGCTGGTCCCTTGATTCACCATTTTTAAGAAATTATTATAAAATTAGAAATTCTCAAGAATTTCATAATTTTACTAGCATTTTGTTGTTTGTTTTTGCTAGAGGATGCAGGCGCTTGCCATAAAGAGGTAGTGAGGGAGAGTGGAAAGTAGCCCCCCATAGGGAGTAGTCACACCACAATTCTTTTCCCATTCCTCTCACCTTTTAGGACTTCTGGAGTGTTATGTACATGTGTCTTATGCACACGTGTCTAGGGTATTTCTCAAACTGTGTGGTCTGGCACCTTTACCGTAAGGACAACTGTCTGGATCCAGCTGCTTAGTTACTAGGCCACAGAGCAACAGGCAAAAGGTGAATTTTTCCCCTTCAACTTAGTCTGTTAAATGGTCAAGGGAGCACTCATCTAGATTAGTATATTTGTAATTGAGGTATTTGGCTTACTTAACCTTTTGCACCATCATTTTCTCATTTCTTTTTTAAAGAAATAATTTTATTTTAAATTTGACCAGAGAGAGAGAAAGTGAGAACAAACTGCCAGGTCTGAGATTTGAACCGCAGTTGGTCATGTGGGAATCTAATACCTTAACTACCATGCCACCTGTCAGCCCCAGTGTGATTTTTTTTTTTTAAGCATAATTTATTTTTTACAGTGTGTAGAGTATAAGCTCCATGAGGACCAGTGATCTTGTGCTTCTTTTTCGCTACCTCCAGCGTAAAGAACAGTGTGCCTTGGTATATATAGATACTGGTCACATGTTTTGTGAAAAATTGGTAGTATTACAAAAAACTTAGAAAACATCCTATCAGTTTTTCTGTTAACCTAATCATCCTATAATTTTGTATTTTCTAATTTATATCAAAAGGATGTTCTGTTACGAACCTTTTATGATTAGATGGTGAAACCTCTCTTTTAAAGATGTTCTAGATTTTATATAAAATGTAGATTACTGCTACTACTATAGAAAATTCTTATTTTAGTACTTATTTGGACATTCATACTTATGAATGACATGTATTAATACATAAAAGCTCATTTTCCATTGTTGCGTACTCTAAAATAGGGTTACTGAAGAAGACAAAATTAAGAAAAAGGGGCAAGAGGAAAAACAACCTAAAAAGCAGCTTAAAAAGGATGAAGAGGGCCAGAAGGAAGAAGATAAACCAAGAAAAGAGCCGGACAAAAAAGAAGGGAAGAAAGAAGTTGAATCTAAAAGGAAAAATTTAGCTAAAACGGGGGTTACATCAACCTCTGATTCTGAAGAAGAAGGAGATGATCAAGAGGGTGAAAAGGTAGAAAATTTACATGCCATATAAAGTATTTGCTCCATTTTTAAATTTTCAGGTATTTCTTAATCATCACCAAATAAGGTTTCAACATTTTTGTGAATGTCTTAAATGTCTGTGAAAGTTAAATTGAATTTAATTTTCTGAATAGACTTGAATTGGGTATGTTAAAGGCATATTTGAAATTTTCCTTTCCTTTTTTATAAAATTATCTAATTTCTTTTTTAAGATTTATTTAGTTGTTTAGTTGATTTTAATTTGACCAGACAGGGGGAGAGAGAAAGTGAAAAAACCAGCCATCAGATCTGGGACTCAAATTGCGGTCAGCCATGTTGGGGAGTCCAGCACCTTTAACCACCACGCCACCTGCTGGCCCCATTGTCATTTTTTAATCTGACCAAGAGAAAGAGGGAAAGTGAGAAAGCAAGCCACCAGATCCAGGACTTGAACTACAGTTGGCCATGTGGGAGTCCAGCACCCTAACCACCATGCTGCCTGCCAGCCCCTATTTCCCTTATTTTCTATTCTGATTGTATCTTTTTGTACTCTGGAAATTAAACAGATATGCTTCTAATTAACCCATTTACCTAGAAAAGGTAGGAGATTAAGCTAGTAGGCTATAGCCATCTAAAACAAATGTAGAAACACATTTATGTACAGACTTTTGTTATTTACCTCAAAGAAACGATCACTCTTCTGACCTTATTAGGCATTTTATCAGTGGTGCATAACTATGAATGTCTCATTTGGGAATCCTATTTTAAAATATGCATGCTTTTATGTAGAAAAACACAAATTTTGCAAATAGTCTTAGATCTGCACATCTAGGTCATGTAGATCTTTTGTTTTTATCTGATTTTTGTCTCATTTCTTAATATTTTAGAAGCCACAAATTTTAGGGACCAGCAGTTAGCGTAATGGCTATGACGCTGGACTCCCATGTAGCCAACCGCGGTTCGAGGCCCGGACCCGGTGGCTTAATCTCACACAGGGCGCGTGTGCGTGCATGCCCAAGATCCTGAGAGGAGAATGGAGAAGGGATTGTGGCATGGCCATCCCCTCTGGGGGGTGATTTCTCACTGTCTCTCTTTCTGGCGAGCACTCACACCCTATAGCAAAAACCTCTCCCCCCAAAAAAAATTAAATTAAAAAAAAAAAAAGTCACAAATATTAAATTGGGTAGATTGAATTGTGCTTATCAGTGCTTATGTCAGAGCTGAGTAGGCCCAGCTGAGGTGGTACAGACAGTAGGGTGCAGTTGTAGGATGCAGGAGGTACATGAGAGACATTGGTTTGGATCTTGTGTCTACATGAACATGATGAGCACACCTGTGTGCTCTTGTGATCTTAGCTTGCTGGGTGATGGGAGAGGATTGTGGCCTGGCAAGACCCTGTCAGGGGTACGTTTCTCCCCCCCCCCAAATAAGTAAACAAACTTAAACAAAAATGTGGAGTGGCTCCTTGGCCTGGTGGTTAAGGCAGCCAGATCCCACATGGCCAACCATGGGGTTCAAGTCCCAGACCCAGTGGCTTGAAAAACACCTCAGGCACATGTGTCTTTCAAGCCCAAAATCTTGAAAGGAGGGAGAGAGAAGTCAGTGCAGTGTGACCATTCTTCATATGAGATGCCCCTGCCAACCCCCCTTCGGCAAGCCAAACAAACAAACAAAAAACAACATAAAAACCATTATATAGAAGCAAATAGCCTGATATACTTTATGTTAGCCAAAGAACAGCACTTTTACATCAAGGCATAAAATAAATGATTGAATTTAAATTTGTACTTATCATGGGAAGGATAAATTTGCAGAGCAGAGATGTGTATAATTCAATATTTGGAGGATTTTTTTTGTGTGTGTGTGTGTGTACATATGAGGAACAAACCCTTGGCAGGGTCTTGACACATCCTGATCCCTTTCCAGGCCTCTGGCTCGCCTGGGCTGTCCTTATGGCTTCTAGCCTTGCAGGGCACTTGTATTGCCATCAAAGCAGCTGGCCCCCCATATTTTTTTTTTTTAAGTAGTTTTTTGGTCTCTTTTTAAAAAATCTAGTTTTTCTCCCCAAAAGATAAATAAGCACCAGTTATTGACTTGATAGGTAACTAAATCCATACTAATTCTCAAATAAAACAGAAGAGAAAAGGTGGAAGAAACTTTCAGACTGCTCACAGAAGGAATATGCTGAAAGGCCAACATGAGAAAGAAGCAGCAGATCGAAAACGCAAGCAAGAGGAACAAATGGAAACTGAGCAGTAAGTGTTTTTTTAATTCTAAATTTTGGGTCCCTTTTTAAAGCTAGCATGAAATTTTTAAACAATAGATTTTCATTTTCCAGACTTGATGAAGGCTTTTGAAGAAGTGACTTTTCCCACATATTAGAAAATTCTTCAGTATATGATAATCCTATTTCAGGCTTCATTTTCTGAGGATGAAATTCACTGAGGCAATCACCTTGTGAATTATTTTTTAATTTAAACTGAAAGGGCAGATAGGATTTAACTGTTAGTGGCTTCACAGAAAATGTCCTCATCCTCTATTTGTATAATATGTTAGTATAGGAAGAATGATAAAATATTGGTGGAAAAAGAATGCAGGAAATGTCTTATACACCAGCAGGCCTCCCCTAAAAGACCAGCAAAAATAACAAAAGCACAACTGAAAACCCAGGAAGCCACTAAAACTAAATTTAAAGGCTGACAGGGTTTACATTAGATATGTGCAATATAAATGAAATTTGAACTCTTTTAAGTTTTGATACTTGGAAACACTATGTAATTTGTCAGGGAGAATTTCCCGTTTTATAAAATAATTTTATTCAAAGGAAAGTAATAGCGGTGATAATGGAGATTGGACTTCATGTCTTTATTACATTTGTTTTCCTAGTTATCTTTAGACTGTCGTTTCTGAGTTCTTTCTCTGAAATGCTTTTCTTTCCTTGTGAAGTGTCTTATGTTCTGAGTGGACTGGTTTTTTTGTTTTGTTTTAATGAGGTGATTTTAAAAACACTAAGACAAAAGTTAATGAGCCATTAATCTTTGAACTATTCTTGAATAATTTTGTATTTTTGTCTCTATAAGACATTCAGATATTCTTTACAAGTGTAGTATTTGACTCTGCTTTCTTAGTTTGGAGGATAGCAGCTTTAGCTGCTTGAGGGAGTAATTTAAAAACTGATTTAAAGCTTGATATATTTACTCCCTCTAATCTGTTAGAATTTGACCAGTTCTGTAAATATTTTTTGTTACACCTATCCTTTTCTCTCTTTTCACTTAAAAGTTGTTGGACTGTTTGTTGCTTTTAACTTTATTGTGCTCCCAAAATTAAGATATAAAAATTAGTTGTTGCTTACTCAATCTAGCCCAACTTTTCTTCAGTATCTTAAAGTTACCTTTATGTATTTCAGTTTCTTTTGAATGTCCTCCAATGTAACTTTCTCAAATTCTAATATTTGTGTTTTCTTTCCTTCTCCTGTTATTACAAAACTTTGTACTTGGACAGTTTTGCTCTGTAAAGCATTTCAGATGCAGCTTGTATGAAATGCATTATGCAAAATAAAGTTTATTGTATTGTATTCCCAGCCAAACAACATGTAATCTACAGTAATAAAAAATATATCTCATTTTGGGCTCAAAGCATTAATCCAGTTACTGAAAAGAGAATACAAGTGGAGCAAACAAGAGATGAAGATCTTGAGACAGACTCATTGGACTGAATTTCCCCCTTCCCCCCTTGATGGAAGAATGTTCCAGATTCTAAATTGAGGACTTCATTATTAATGGCATTATTACTGTGTTATGATTGTTAACAAATTTCATGTAAGGTACACACTACATATTAAGGTCGGCCATCATTCCTGTTAAGTTTTTTACCAAGCTTAAGATGAAGCTTTGTGTTTGAAAATTATAATAAGCTCAGATGAAGATGGTGGTTGTACATTATTTCATTAGAAAATATAAAAATTCATTTTGTTTTGAAGCTAGGTATTAAACTGGAATAGCTATTACACCCCTGAGAATGGGGCAGTTGTGCCCTTCCCTTGACATTCCTTTGTTGTTCAATTCTTTAGAATCTGTTTTTTTTTTTAATCCTGAGAGATTAAATAGTAGACTTGTTAAAAAAAAAAAATGAAACTGTAACCAAAATTTTAAAATAAAGTTTTTTTTAAAAAAAAACCTGATTATTAGATATTTTTTTTGTTCTTGTCTATCTGAATTGGTTAATAATACATGGCCTGAACTCGAAGCCAAGGTACTAGAAATTAGTATTTCAATTTTAAGTGGTTATTTTTGTAACTTATATTAAGAATGGTACCTTTTCACTTGTGAAATGGTATGTAATTGTAGTGGACATCATTTAAGCTTAATATATTGGCCAAAAAATTAAATATGGTAGTATTAAAACACTCCATATTTAAACTTGAAGCTAACTTCAAAATCCCTTAAATTACCTACCTTTTGGAGATACAGTAAACAAATTGGTCTGTTTTGATATGCTGCTTTTTAAAATAAGTATGATGTAGAGAATCCATTACACACTTACAGTTATTATCTTCCTATTGATGCCTATTCATCGACCCTGAAATGAATCTTTATCCTTTAATGTTAAAATTTTACCATGATAGCAGTGAAAAAATTTTATTTGGGGTTTCACTAGGACAGTTATAAAATTACTTAATGTCACTGAAAAAACTATATTGTTAGATTTAACAAGCAAATTTATTTTGAATTTTGTTTTTCTTATGCTAATACTGTGGAATTGCACAGTTCTAAGAATTATAGGCAATTCATTGTGATCTAAATTACATTTGAGTTATTTTAAGGAAAAAGTTTTTAACTTTTACATAAGAGATTGTGGACATTTGGTAATCACAGTCACAAAGTTCCAATGTTTTGAAATATTTGTGTTAACATTTGATAGGCAGAATAAAGATGAAGGAAAGAAGCCAGAAGTTAAGAAAGTGGAGAAGAAGCGAGGTTAGTTATTTCACTTTCTAAGACAAAATATTATACGCAGAAAGGAAGTTACACACTGAATTTTTCATGTATTGGTTTGGAACTGGTTTCATTTTACATCATTACATCCTATAAGCACATTTACACAAACCCCCAATGGATTCTATGTAGATTACATAATATTTTAAGCATAATGGTCTGAGCTTGCAAGAGCCGTCTTCATAATTTAATGGTACATATTTGATGATGTCAGTGTTTTTTTTGTTGTTGTTTTTTTTTTTTTTTAAGGGTTTGCTATAGGGCCTTGGCTGGAGACAAAGGAAAAGCAGGGAATCACCTCCGGGGGAATGGCCACAGGGCAGTTCTCCTCTAACATTCTCTTCTTGGAGTTTGGGCACATATGCACAACGTGCCAGGTCTTTTTTTTCAAGCTTTCATCTCCAGGACTCAAATTGTGTAGCTAGCCATGTGGGATCTAGCTGCCTTAACCAACCTGTCATCAGCTGGCCCTCTGTCAGTTTTGTTTTGTTTCCCTTTGTCATAGGGTTCATGCTTGCCAGAGAGCGAGGGAGAAATCACCACCCGGGGGTAGATGGCCATGCCCTAATCACTTCTCCGTTTTCGGAATTTTGACACAAATGTGCATGCACCTGGCATGATTTTTTTCAGGCTGCTGGGCTAGACCTTGAATCATATAGTTGGCTATGTGGGATCCAGCACCGCCACCACCACACCACCTGTTGGCCAGAATGTCAGGTTTTTAAATTTTGCCAAAAGCATTTTTGACAGATCTCTTGGTTAAACAAGCAAGGTAAAGTGGGTGTTAAAGGACTAGAATGGCAAAAGAGATCATTATTGGATGCAGGTCGTTTTAAAAACAAATGCAACTAGATTGTGCCCTTTTCCCCCTACATGTTGCTTTCCTAAATCACACTAAAAATAGCAGGTGACTTAATAATTAAGCTGTTATTCATATGAGTTTCCTAGTAACAATTACTAAGTTTTTTTTTTTTTAATCTACCAGTTCTTTCATTATACTTTGCATAGACTATACAGAAATACTGACTTGGAAAAAACTATTCACTATTTTTCACGTATTTTAATTTATAGAAACATCAATGGATTCACGACTTCAAAGGATACATGCTGAAATTAAAAATTCACTCAAAATTGATAATCTTGTAAGTGTTTAACCTCATTTAAAAACAGTGCTGCTCTTATAAGCTTCATATTTAGTCACATGATTTTATAAGTATGTAAATTTAAGATAAAAGGGGCAATTACTGTTTATTATATACTGCCTTACTTGAAATTTTGAAAGTAATCTTCAGAAATAGATTACATGTGTTGTGATAATTAATAGTTATAAAATTACTGTTTTGTCATGAAGGATGTGAACAGATGCATTGAGGCCTTGGATGAACTGGCTTCACTTCAGGTCACAATGCAACAAGCTCAGAAACACACAGAGATGATTACAACACTGAAAAAAGTAAGTGATTTCAAGTAATGTAGATTTAAAAAATTTTTTCTCATTACTGCATCATTAAAAATAAAGTTTAAGTGAACAATCGTTTAGGAAAAGAACTATGAATGTATATTGTTTTCTCAGATACGACGCTTCAAAGTTAGTCAGGTTATCATGGAAAAGTCTACAATGTTGTATAACAAGTTTAAGAACATGTTTTTGGTTGGTGAAGGAGATTCTGTGATCACACAAGTGCTGAATAAATCTCTTGCTGAACAAAGACAGCATGAGGAAGCAAATAAAACCAAAGACCAAGGGAAGAAAGGGCCAAACAAAAAACTAGAAAAGGAACAAACAGGTATGTGGTAATAAATCTGAAGACAAGTTTTAAAACTGCTTTTAAAAATGACTTGATACATAATTTCGTTGAAACCTTATCTGCATTAAGTGAGGACAGTGTCATAAAGCACTCAACAAAATCGCAACCATAAAAGTTTAATAGTTAAAACCTACTAGTATTTACTACTAGTAGTTATTTCAGCTAGGGAAAATGTCTTCCAACTTCCCACGGCTCAGTCACCTAGCTTCACTAGTTATCAATACATGGTCTTGTGGTTTTATACTCCATAAAGCTTTCCCTGTGCCACCCATGAAGGTTATTTTAAAACAAATTACAGACATACCATTTCATCTGTAAGTACTAGGTTTATTGGAAAAGTCATGATGCATTTTTGCATAGAAAACCAGAGTACACCATGACTTCTCCGACAATCCAGTATTTTAAACTGTATTTATGAAAAAAACTCAAAACAGAGCCATTATTAGTTCCCCTTATTAGCTCCTGGAGTTCATGTTACCCAGTTTCTTGACACCAACAGTTGGAAAGCAGTTGTATTTTTTCTTCCTTTTTAATGATAAGGATAATGATAAAGGAATCATAAGCTAATTTACAGGAGGGTCAGCCAGTGGCATGGAGGTTAAGGTGCTGGATCCCACATGGCCAACTTAATTGTTTGAGTCCTGGACCCAGCAGCTTGAAAATTTTGCAGGGTGCATATGTGTGCAGCCCAAAATCTTAAGAGAATAGAAAAGAGACTATAGGATGTGTGCAGCCCAAAATCTTAAGAGAATAGAGACTATGGATTGGCCATCCCTCTAAGGAGTGACTCTTAACGTTACACATCATCTCCTCTCTCTCTCCCTCCCCTGCATGCATGTACGCCCCCTATAACAAACTTACTTATTTATGGAGTCATATCAGTTAGACATTACTTTCATAACACTTTGTCCCAAAATACCAATAATAATGCCTTTTTTTATAAGAGCTAAAATAAATCATGTATTAAGTTGTAGCATCCTATAGTCTGATAGTTACAAATGGTATAATCAAATTAATAATCTCCTTCCTGTACTCATAAATGAGGGATTTTTAAAATTTTCATGGAAAATGCTATTAGGAAAAACTTGCATGGGTTTCAAAACTTTTCTGTACCAAGAAAACCATGTAGCTTACTTGCATATTTCCTTGAACTTTCTGAAGTCCCCATACATGTAAAGTAACCCTGCTTTTTACTATAACCTAAAGGATTTTGATGATGTTAGAAGTTGACAGTTATCACTTTTTTAATAAAATCATTCCTTTTATTTGAAATTGCATTATAATTTACCCGTGGACTTTGGTACTGTTTCAAATTACATTGTAATTCAGCTTTAGATTGTTATAACTATTTCTAAAAAAAGATACTGAGCATTACAACTTGAAGACTGTGTTTCATTTTTTATTTGAATCTTTATAGGACATCTTAAAGCTTTAATTTTGTAAGTTCTAACAACTGTTCCATTGGAATCCTTAAGGCTCAAAGACTCTGAATGGAGGATCTGATTCTCAAGAGAGTAATCAGCCACAACACAATGGCGATAGTAATGAAGAAAACAAAGACAACCACGAGGCCAGCACTAAGAAAAAGTGAGGACATGTTTCAGTGGGTCTTCATGTGTTTTTAAGTTTTTAATCAAAATATTCTAACAAGATTATTGCCATAAAGGGTTATATCCTGAATCACTAAGCAAGATGCAAATCAAAAAGGGAAAACTAAACTCCTATACAACTTTTTTTTTTGGGGGGGGGGGGGGAGGTTTTTGCTATAGGGCGCGTGCGCTCACCAGACAGACAGAGACATAGAGACAGAAAGTGAGAAATCACCCCCCACAGGGGATGGTCACACCGCAATCCCTTCTCCTGCATTCTCCTCTCGGGATCTTGGGCATGCACGCACACGCGCCCGGCGTGAGTTTTAAGCCACCGGGTCCGGGACGCGAACCGCAGTCGACTACGTGGGAGTCCAGCGACGTAGCCATTACGCTAACTGCTGGTTCCCGTACTCCTATACAACTCTTGATTTGCCAGTGTATTCAAGAAAATGGAAGTAGATGCAAACCCAATTAAAATAACTACTTTTCCTTGGACTTCTTTTACACTATTTACAGTAATGCCTAGTTTTCACACTTTGTTGAATTGTAGGACCAAGGAAAATACATTAAAAATTAGAAATAGTATCACAGACTGTCATACCCATTCTTAAATAACTAGCTGTGAAAGTAGTTACATAAGTCTTACGTAGTTGTCAGAAAAATCATGACGTATTTTTTCTTTTTTTTTTTTTTAATGCATGTGTCATGACTTTTCCAACAGCCCAACAGTTTTTTTCACTTCACCTTTGAAAAACTTAGAATTAATGTCTATATACCCTCTCTTTTTATTAAGGCTTGTAATATGTCGGTATCACAAACACAATATTCTCATGTTCTTAAAATTTAAAGATGGAAAGGGCTTGCTTCATAATATTTCCCTGAGTTATTTTGCTTGATCAGGATATTACTTTGGGAAGATAAAACAGGGTAAGACCAAAATTCGAACATGAAACAATGATGTCTTAAGGTTTTGTTTACATCTTGTGACTTTTTAAAAATGTAATGCACAGACTTAACATTTATTTTCCCTTTGGAGAAACCCTAAAACCTCTCTTTCCCCTTTTCTTTAGGCCATCCAGTGACGAGAGAGAGACTGAAATATCTCTGAAGGATTCCTCACTAGATAACTAGATTGATAGACCTGGAATATAAAGAACATTTGAGAAGTTTGTAATGGTTTTCATTATTTAGACTGCTGAAAGTTTTAAATTTTTATAAGCATAGGTTTTGATGTTTAAAACTTGTTATGAGGGAGAAAATCCCTTTATCTTTGTTTAAAAGTAAGTAAACATTATCGCTAATTGTACTTGTGCAGTATTAACAACTACATCATACAGTAAATGGGGGGATCCATTTAGAAAATGTTGAATTGCTTTTCCAGATGTGGTTGTAGGATATTTTCAATTAGTATGTATGTGTTAATGTGTAATTGGTAGAACAGAGTTACATTTTTAAAACTGCTACTTGTATAAACCTTTCCTCTTCCTGAATACCGTGGGTTTTGTGCATAGTTTTTACAAATCTTGGATTTACGAGACTGTCTTTTCACTGTTTGTGGGTTTTGTAGAAGTTGAGCATTTTTATGGTAGACAAAATGTTACTTCTATACAAGTATTCTATCAAAAGTTCATTTTAATCTCACAATCTGCAGTGCGCTTCATTCTGCTTCTTTGTAACGTGTGTGGTCTGTATGCCTTTTTGTATGACAACTCGATATCCAGCTGACTTTAAACTGACAATTCAGTGAGGTACAAAACTTAACTTTTAAAGGTATGTTTTGTGGCTGGGAATTCAGTGAGGTCACGTGACGTCCTTGCAGTGAAGACTGGGTATACATATTAGTAAATTTGACTTTTGGGTTCAGCCATCTAAATTACTACTTTACAGGCACTAGTAAGTAAAACACAACTGTTAAGTTTATTTTTGAAAACTGTGACGAGTTTCTGGGTTTTTTCCCTAAAGTCAGACTCATTAAAGAACTTCCATGTGGTAATAAAAGTAAATGCTGTATAAGGAAACTAACCTATTTGAAAACCTGGCTGAATTAGAAGGGAATGTTAAATTTTCATTTCTGTATCACACATAAGTTGCTCTAACGTAGTACTTTGATAGTCAGTATATTGAGTATATGGACTAAATCAGAGTGAAGCAATGCCAACATTAGCTCAAAGATAGCATTTCTAAGACAGAATATTGGTCAGTTGGTGGTTTTCAATGGTAGATACTTCATGTTTTGAAACTTATATGAATATGGGAAAATTAATACACGTTTATGACATGCACTGTATGTTTTGACCTATTGAATAATTGTTTATATATATATATATACACCAGTCATCTATTTAGTCCTTAACACAGTTTTAACTTGGACAGATTTATTCTAGTTAAGCCATAAATATCAACGTGTAAACTTGTTTTGATTAAAGAATTTTTCTATCAAACTCTACTAGTAAACTATTTCTTTACTATTTACAAGAGTAAATGACAGTACTAAGGAGATAATTTCTTAACTGGCTATAGAGACTGTGTTTGGAGAGGCAGGGTAACAGTAAACTCAAGATGATTTAAAAAATGTTACTTTGGGGGCCAGCAGATGGCATACTAGCTATGTCACTGGACTCCCACATGGTCAACCTTGGTTCGAGTCCCAAACCCAGTGGCTTAAGACGAACACCGGGCAAGTGTGCATGCATGCCCAAAACCCCAATCCCAGGAGGAGAAGGGATTGAGGTGTGGCCATCTCCCCGGAGGGTGTTTTCTCACTTTCCCTCTCAATGTCTTTGTCTCTTGTCTCTCCGGCAAGCACATGTGCCCTAAGGTAAAAACCACTTCCCAATCTGTTTTCTTCCATGACCCAACAGATCTAGTTCTACCAAGATGCTATGGAACATTCAACTTTGTAGCAGTATTGAGATCCTCACTCGAATAGCTGATACATGTTCTCTTAAAGCATAGTTGTCTTTTCTTAATCTTCATTTTGAGAATTTTGTCTATGTCATAGGCTGATTCACAGGTAACTATCACTGTTAGAACTTTTTTTTTTTAAAGAATTATTTAATTCCATTTGTTGTTACTATTTTTTAATTTGACCAGGGACAGAGACAAAGGGAAAGCAAGAAAGCAAGCCACCAGATCCAGAACTTAAACTGGGTAGGCCATGTTGGGAATACAGTGCCCTTAACCACCATGCCACCTGATGGTCCTTCACTGTCAGGATTCTTAAGAAAAAGTCTTGGGACCAGCAGGTGGCATGGTGGGTAAGGCCCTGGACACTCCCACATGGCTGACAATGGTGGAGTCCTGGACCTGGTGGCTTGCTTTCTCACTTTCCTTCTCTCTGTCTCTCTCTGGTCAAGTTAGAATAAATAAAATTGAATTATCATGAACTTTCAGAAGTATTGGTTCAGTTTAAATGATATATTTGGCTAAAGCTCCACAGCTGAATAAATCGCTAAGAGGTCAATTCAATGAGAAAGCTAGCCTAAAAAAAAATATATAAAATATATGAATAAATCACCTATTTTGTGTTCTATTTTAAAACATAATTGGGTACCAGCAGAATTGACTGTTAAAGGTTTGTTTTTTTGTTTGTTTTGCTATAGGGCGCATATGCTCACAATCCCTTCTCCACTCTCCTCCATTCTCCTTTTGGGATCTTGGGCATGAGTTTAAGCCACCCGGTCTGGGACTCGAACCATGGTCAACTACATGGGAGTCCAGTGATATAGCCATTACTTCAACTGTTGGTCCCAGAAATGGCAATTTTATATATAGCGGTTTTTGTGTAGGTCTGTCTAACTGCAGAGAATGTTAAGTTCATGGCAACATTTTCATACTTGTTTTTTTCTCTTCATTTGATGGAGTAATATATATATATATAATTTAACAGTCCCACTGTGTTTAATAGATTAAAATAGCATAAAGGGGCCGGACACCATGTGGCATGGTGGTGAAGGTGCTAGACTCCCTTGTGGCCAACCACAGTTCAAGTCCTGGAATAGGTCAATTGCTATCTCAATTTCACTGTCTTTGGTGAATTTAAAAATGATAATAAATCTTTAAAAAGAAGGTAGCATAAAGAAAAACTGTCTTGAATCAGATTTTATGCCTCCAAGATACATAAAAGTTGGGATGTTATTAAAGAATTATTTAACTTTATTTATTTCATATTAATTTGATCAGAGAGGAACAGAGTGAGAGAGTGAGAAAGCAAGCCACCAGGTCTGGGACTTGAAACACGGTTAGCCATGTGGGAGTCCAGCACCCTTAACTACCACACCACCCGCTGGCCTAGGGAATTTTTTTGTAAAATGTGTTGGGAATTTCTAGTGACTTGAACTTGGTGTAGGATACCTTTATAAATGATACATAATATACTGGCAAATTGAGAGAGTAGCCTTTGTAAGAATTCTAGGGGCCAGCAGGTGGTAGGGTGGTGGAGGTGCTGGACTCCCACATGACCAACCATGGGTCAAGTCCTAGACCTTGCAGCATGCTTTTTTTTTTTTTGTCTCTGGTAGTGCATGTGCATATGCCCTATAGCAAATTAAAAAGTAATAAAATTTTTAAAAAATAAAAAATTGTAGTTACTGATAGCCTCTTCCTCCACTAAAATGAATAGATTAGTACCACACAAAATGTGTTAAGACAGTATTTCTAGAGTTTGGTGTTTTGAGAGTGGAGTGAAATTGAGTAAGAGCAAACAGACTCTTGGATAGTAATAAACAATTTAAAAACAAACTGGGAACAGAGGTGGCATAGTGAAGATGCTGGACTCCCATATGGCTAACCACATTTCCAGTCCTAGACCTGGCAACTTGAAAAACATGCCAGGTATGTTTGTTGTACATGCCCACAATCCAAAGAAGAGAAGGGATTGCAATGTGGTCATCCCCCCTGGGGGGTAATTTCTCACTTTCCCTGCCACTGTCTCTCTCTCTGTCCAGTGAGTGAATGTGCCCGATGGCAAAAACCTAAAACAAAAAAGAATCAAAAATACATTTTTACCTGTGGACTTTCAGGAATTTGGTAAATCAAATCAGTTTTCAGTCTACTCAACATTGGCACCATTGGATACAGGAAATGTAAAAGTTTAGGTACAATATAAGCCCACTATGAAGAAGCCTCTTAGTTCTCTCAGTTGACCTCTTCTGTGTACTGACTGAATCAGTAAATGAATACCACTAAACATACCAGAAACACGCGTGCATCTCCGTAACAGTGGACTTAACTGGATGTTTGGCATTTTTCAGTCTTTTAAGCACAGAGGTTAATAGGCTTCGTCAGTTTTTGATTATATGGTAGATATTTGTTGTTAGCCATCCAAAGAAGTGTAGTTTGGGTGAACTTAAATAGAACCTAGGAGACAGAGAATGAAACTTAAATAATGACAAACTTAAAATTTGATAGCCTTCCCAGTAGTAGTAAACAATATTAAATTTTCCACCCAAAAAAGGTTTACAGAAAAGATTTCATTACAGACAGTGACAATTTTCTAATGACCTTGACATGGGAATTTATTAGGTTTACGTTTTGTTCAGAAGAGTATAATTGTATAAGAGTAGAATTGTTAAGGAAGGGGACCAGAATAGAAGGGCTGGGCCATAAAAATTCCTTTGTTTTCCTTTTATCTCATCTTTGCTTACAGAATGGTATATATTCAGTACTATTATTACCCAGGAATAAGTGAACCAAATCTAGCCATTTAAATTGGGTTTTCCAGGGACCAGCAGATGGCGTAATGGTTAGGTTACTGGACTCCCACGTAGTCTACTGCAGTTCAAGTCCCGGACCTAGTGGCTTACTCAAACTGGCCGTGTGCGTATGCGTACCCAGAATCCCGAGAGGAGAATGGGGAAGGGATTGTGGCATGGCCACCCGCCCCCTGGGGGGTGATTTCTCACTTTCTGTCTCTGGAGAATGCATATACCCACCCTATAGTAAAAAATTTCTCTCGGAAAGAAAAATTGGTTTTTCCATGTCACTGAAGTGATAAAATCTGCAGTTTTTAAAAATCACAGTGGTAAATTGATATATTTAAAAACAGCATTGTGATCCATAAAGTTTTTGTCAAACGAAACTGCAATTTGAATGTTATTTCGGTGAAGGTATGAGTATATATGGAAGATACTTTCACATTTGCCATGCATGTAATGAGTCTCATTAAAGTGTCCTGTGTATCTAGCTGCTATCAAAACAAAACTTACCATTTACAAAACAGTCCATAATAAAATTTTTATTACAGATAACTGAAGGATCTTTACCTTAGAAGCCATGAGGTGCAGAATCAGACCATGTAGCTCTCAAATTCTTCAAAGAATTTTCAAAACACTTCCTCCACTTCATGTATCATTAATTGAATTCTATTAACAAAAACCACTCTGGACACACAGAATGAGTAGGCATGTCACAGATTGATAAGGGATTTATATTCAGAGTATAAAAGCACTTCCACAGCAGTACGATAAGCAGCCCACTTAAAGTGGATAAAAAGAACTAAATTAAAAAATGTGTTTAGTATAAGTACAAAATACGTCTGAACATTTAAATACAACCAAGGTACTTTATAAGAAAACGTGATTTGGACTTTTTTGGGTAGCTTTAGCTGATTATTCATGGTGGATCCTGTTCCACAGTGGCATTTTATGGGAATAAAGGAACTCATCCATGTAGACAGTTACAAAGGTGCCAGATTTTTTGGTAGAGGTGTGTGTGTGCAGGGTCTATCTTTAATTAAAGGTTCCAGGGTCAACATAGGGATAAGCAAGGAATTCCCCCAGTTTGTTGCCTTCTGAGTCGTAGTGGAGCATTCGGAAGCAAACATCACAAAAGAAACATGGATCCTCTGGTGCAAAACTGTCATTGTTTGTCACCCACCTGTAATTAAAAAAAGATAAGCATCGTTACAAGTCCAGTTTTTCATATTTAACACAGTAAGTTAAGACGCGAAGTAATACATGAAGATAACCTTACCATTACTACCTCAGCAGTCTATATTAGTACACTGTTACCAGGGCCCAGCAGGTGGTGGTTGAGATGCTGGATTCCCACATGGCTGGCCCCGTGTCTCTCTAGGCAAAATTATAAAATAATAATAAAATTCAATATCTTAAAAAAAAACATCTCTTCTTTCAGGTTTTTACTATAGGGCACATGCGCTCACCAGAGAGACAGCAAAAAATCACCCTCCAGGGGGATGGCCGCGCCACAATCCTTCATTCTCCTTTTGATCCTGGGAGTGTACGCACACATGCACAGCATGAGTTTCAAGCTGCCAGGTTCAGACTTGAACTGTAGTCAACTACATGGGAATCCAGCGACATAACCATTATGTCATCCAGTCCAGTATGCTATAATCTTTTATGTAATTTTGTATACACATATACATCTAACACCAAGAAACACTTCAATGCTTTTTTAAAAAGAATTGCCTTTTTAAGGGAAGCCAAAAACATAAATATGTACTGAAAGCATACATTTGCCATGACACATCAATTCTCCAAGTAACTTATAAACAGTCATTTTCTAGTAACAGGTCATTTTAAAAACTATAATAAAACTGGATGCTGTAAATCTGATAGGCTTTGCTTAATTTATCTTTTTTCTTTGGAGAGGTTTTTGCTACAGGGTGCGTGCGCTTGCCAGACAGAGAGAGACAGAGAGAGAGAAAGCGAGAAATCACCCCCCAGAGGGGATGGCCATGCCGCAATCCCTTCTCCTCCATTCTCCTCTCGGGATCTTGGGCACGCACGCACACATGCCCAGCATGAGTTTAAGCCACTGGGTCCAGGACATGAACCATGGTCGACTGCATGGGAGTCTAACAACATAGCCATTATGCTAACTGCTGGTCCCCTTAATTTATCTTTTTACTGCCAAATTAGTACTATTTAATTTGAAAATTCACAGCTGTTTTATTAGAACTGGGATGAAATAGTGTATACACAAATGAGTATTTTTTTTTTCTTCACAAAAGAGTCAAAAAGCAAGAAATAACCCCCCAGGGAAGGATGGCTACGCCGCAATCCCTTCTCCACCCTCCTCTCGGGATCTTGGGCACGCACACACGCACGCACATGCAACCAGCATTAGTTTAAGCCACCGGGTCTGGGACTTAAACCATGATTGGCTACATGGGAGTCCAGTGACGTAGCCAAATAAAAACTAATTATTTGAGATTGTCTTTGGCTTTAACTGGTCACACATTTATTTTCATGTTACTAAGTACCATTTCTAGTTTATTTGAATTTTGTGTCTGTTTCTTAAACTATTATCTAATGATTTTAAAGCCACTGGGTTTAGAACTTGAGCTTTAATCAGCCATGTGGGAGTCCAGCGCTTCAACCACCACACCACTTGCCACACACACACCCTTCCTTTTTTAAACTTGCTAGTGTATGCTCTTGCCAGAGAGAGAAGTGAGAAAGCACTCCAGCAAAGGATGCTCATGCCACAATCCCTTCTCCATTTCTCCTTTTTGGGATTTCAGGCACAGACACAAACCCAGTGGGTGTTTTGTTTTTTTTTTTCAAGCCACCGGGTCTGGTACTCAAGCCATTCTGTAGATAATACTTATTTTTTTTAATTAATTTTATTTATTCATTTAATTTGACCAGAGACAGAAAAAGGGAAAGTGAGAAAGCAAGCCACCAGGTCTGGGATTCAAACCATGGTTGGCCATGTGGTAATGTCCAGCGTCTAAACCACCATGCCACCTGCTGGTCCCAGTACACTTATTCCTTTATTTATTTATTTTAATTCTTTTTATTTTGAGAGGCTTTTGCTATAGGGTGCGTGCACTCGCCAGAGAGACAGAAAGCGAGAAATCACCCCTCAAGGGGGATGACCACACTACAATCCCTTCTCCTCTGTTGTCTTGGGATCTTGGGCACGCTTGCACACACACCCGGCGTGAGTTTAAGCCATCGGGTCTGGGACTTGAAATGTGGTCGACTACATGGGAGTTCAGCAACATAGCCATTACGCTAACTGCTGGTCCCCAGTATGCTTATTCTAAGCTGTTTAAAAGCACTAGTTTCAAATCATTGGATTGACTGGCACTTCCCTCCTAGATAAAAACCCTTCATGTTATTTGCAACCCAAAGTGCAAGTCCTTAGATCCAAAGTGGAAAACTCAAATATCAAAAGTCCAAAGTACTGTGAAAAGTAGTAATTCCGAAAAAATTAGTTACCACTCACCTGGCTGTGTACATTTTACAAACAAAACACTTCCTGGTCCATAACCAGTGCTTCTTGATCAGAAGTGGGTAAAGTGTCCTATCCAAGCAGTCGTCGTAGTGCACAAGCCTTTGGTGAATGAGGAAAGAAACGAAGACATTCGAGTACCAGTTTTTTTTGCTCAGTCAAGAAATATATATCTGCAGTTCGATTCCTGGACTTGGCGCCTTGCTTTCAAACTTTCACTCTGTCTCTCTCTGGTCAAATTTAAATAAGTAAAGTTAAAATACTTACTTAAAAAAATGTATATACCTTCACATTAGAAATGTGTTGTTAGAAAACTCACCACGTATTTTTTCTGTTTTTTCTTTCTTTTTTTAAGAATTATTTAACTTTATTTATTATCATTATTATTTTCCAGTTTGATCAGAGAAACACACAGAGAGAGGGGAAGTGAGAAAGCAAGCCACCAGGTCTGAGACTCGAATCATGGTCGGCCATGTGGGAGTCCAGCCCCTTTAACCACCATGCCACTTGCCGGCCCCAGTATTTTTTGTTTTTCTATGCGAAAATGTGTCATGACTTTTCTAACAATACCATAGATAAATTTTTAAAATTTTTGCTTACAGAATTTTAGGTAAACTGACTCGTTAACAACTAGGTTCGACCAAAGTGTTTTCTGCAAAATGCTTTCTCCAAAAGACAATTTTTGATTAAATAAAGTTTCTTTCCTATGAGACTTCTCAAATCCCTTTAGAGTAACGTACACTGTGACCCACTAAGAGGGAGCTGCTGAACTCTGCATTTGTTCAATGTTCCATCAGAGGATCTTTAATTTGCCAAGCACTTAGGACCTTGCTATGGAACACAGTGTAAGCAAGGCCGCTCAATTGTAATTTACCTAGAGTAACTAGCTGTTTAAATATGGTGCTTGTTTTTTACTGTCCTGTTAATAGAATCCAAATCTGGCTCCTGGTATAATATGAATTGGTAAGAGTTTTGTGTCAGAATTATGTAACTTCAAGTTTACCCATTGTTCCACTACATGGGAGTTCAGCAACATAGCCATTACGCTAACTGTTCCAAGCAAGATCCAGGCCAGCAGGTGGCATGGTATAGTTAAGGCACTGGATCCCATTTGGTGGACTACATGGTTCCAGTCCTGGACCTGGCAGCCTGAAAAACATGCCAGGTATGAATGCATGCATTCTCCAAATCCCAAGAGAATGGACAAGAAGGGATTAGTGTGGCCATGACCCCCAGGGAGTGATTTCTCACTTTCCATCTGTCTGTCTCTACCGAGTGCATGCACCTTATAGCAAAAATACCTTTAAGGAAAAAAAAAAGGGTGGGCAGACAGATACTACATGGCTGAACAAAGTTCAAACCCTGGCCTCAGTAGCTTGAAAAATACCAGGGTGCAGGGCCAGCAGGTGGCATAATGGTTAAGGCACTGGAGACCCACATTGACAACCATGGTTCGAGTCCCCCAACCTGGCAGCTTGAAACTCCCACCAGGTATGTGTGCATGCATGTCCAAGGTCCCGAGAAGAGAGTGGAGGAGAAGGGACTGAAGTGTGGTCGTTCCCTGGGGGGGTGGAGGGGGTGGGGGTGACTTCTCACTTTTTGTGTCTCTGGCATGCTCACATGCCCTATAACAAAAATCTCTCAGGAAAAAACAAACACAAGGTGCATGTGTGTGCACACCCAAGATCTGGACAAGATAAACAAAATGGAAAAGAAATTGTAGCCTGACTGGGACCAGCAGATGGCATAATGGTTATGTCGCTGGACTTCCACGTAGTCCACTGTGATTCAAGTCCTGGACCTGGCAGCGAAAACACACCGGTGCATATGCATGCATGCCCAAAATCAAGAAAGGAGAATGGAGAAGGGACTGCAGCATGGTCATCCCCCCAGGGGGATGATTTCTCTCTTATTGTGTCTCTCTCTGTGTCTCCAGAGAGCTATGCCCTGTAGCAAAAAATCTCCCTTAAAAAAAATGTAGCGTGGGAACCAGTAGTTAGCGTAATGGCTATGTCGCTGGACTCCCACGTAGTCGACCGCGGTTCGCGTCCCGGACCCGGTGGCTTAAAACTCACGCGGGGCGCGTGTGCGTGTGTGCCCAAGATCCCGAGAGGAGAAGGGATTGCGGCGTGACCATCCCCCCTGGGGGGTGATTTCTCGCTTTCTGTCTCGATGTCTCTCTCTGTCTGGTGAGCGCACACGCCTTATAGCAAAAACCTCTCCAAAAAAAAAAAAGGAAAAGCGTGACCATCCCCTCTTGGAGATGCTTTTTCTCTCTCTCTGTTTAGTATAAGTATCCTAGGGCAAAGATTTAAAAATAAAAAAATGGTAGGCAAAAAGACTGGCATGACCAAGCTCCAGTTTTTTGTTTGTTTGTTTTCAGTGGGGGGAAGGGTACACATGCTCCCTATCATGAGTTTCAAAAAAAAAAAAATTGTAAGTGGAAGTCAATCTCTACTTCTAACTAATCAGCTACACTGCTTTGGGTCATTCCCTTAAGCCATGATGAAATCTCAGCTTATTCACCTGAAAAAATGAAAGGACTACACAAGAGTATTCTACAGTTCCCTCACCAGTCTAATTTTTCACTGGGAAAGGGTAACTATATTAAACTTCACCATCTGAACATAATTAAACTGTTTGCAGTTGATACTGCAGAATGGCACTGAATGACTAAATGCACCTGTGAAATGAAAATGACTCAGTGTAAATTACCTTTAAAATTTTTTCAGTCTTACACTATACACACTTAGGTGTAAATTGTTTTTTTTTCTTTTTTTTAGCACTATTTCAAGATCAGATTCTGTTGAACACTGCATCAAGAAGTTGCCTTGTGAACCAGCAGTTAGCGTAATGGCTATGTCACTGGACTCCCGCGTAGTCGACCGCAGTTCGCGTCCCGGACCCGGTGGCTTAAAACTCACGTTGGGCACATGTGTGTGCGTGCCCAAGATCCCGAGAGGAGAATGGAGGAGAAGGGATTGTGGAGTGACCATCCCCCCTGGGGGGGGGGGTGATTTCTCACTTTCTGTCTCTGTCTCTGTGTCTGGCGAGCGCACGCACCCTATAGTGAAAACCTCTCAAAAAAAAAAAGTTGCCTTGCGCTTCTAAGCCAGATTTGCATCCTTTAGCCTGAGACTGTTGACAGCAACACGCCTGCACCGTAAGAAGCGAAACCTAAGACTCATCAGAGAACAATGACTGTCTTCCATCTTAGGGTTATGAGGCGGGCACATTCTTCCTGCCTCAACATTTGAATAGAAGACCTGGCTGAATAGCTTATATAAAAATTTAATAACATCAAGGGACCAGCAGATGGCATAATGGCTACATCGCTGGACTCCCATGTAGCTGACCATGGTTTGAGTCATGGACCCAGGGGCTTGAACTCATGCCGGGCGTGTGTGCATGTGTGCCCAAGATTCCAAGAGGAGAATAGAGAAGGGATTGTGGTGTGACCATCACCCTCCCACCCACTGGGGGTGATTTCTCACTTTCTGTCTGTCTCTGGCAAGCACACACGACCTATAGCAAAAATCTCTCAAAGGGAAAAATTTAATAACATCAAGGCCAGCAGTTGGCATAATGGCTATGTCACTACACTCCCATGTAGCTGACCACGGTTCAAGTCCCGGACCCAGTGGCTTAAACTCAAGCCGGGCGGGTGTGTGTGCGTGCCCAAAATCCCAAGAGGAGAATGGAGAAGGGACTGCAGTGTGGCTATCCTCCCTCCCCCACTCCTAGGTGATGATTTCTGGCTGGCTGTCTGTCTGTCTGGCAAGCACACGCACCCTATAGCAAAAACCTCTCAAAAAAATATTTTAACATCAAAGACATATATGCACTTACTTTTTTTTTTTTTTTTATGTTAAGCTATAAGGCACATGCACCTATTGTAGAGAGGAAGAAAGTGGAAAAGCACACCTGGTGTGACAGCCACACTGTAACCCCCCTCTCCTTCACTCTCCTCCCAGGGTTCTGGACATGTTTGCACAGACACCTGACATGATCCCAAAGCTGCAAGGTCTGGGATCCAACTGCCCCAACCACCATGGCACCAGCTGGCCCGTGTGTGTACATTCACTCACTCTCTCTTGCTCTCTGTGTGTGTGTGTGTGTGTTGTGTGTGTATTTTTTTTAAGAGTTTTTTTTTTCCCCCTTAGGGCACATGCTCTCACCAGAGAGAAAGAGACAGTGAGAGGGAAAGTGAGAAATCACCCCTCAGGGGTGAATGGTCATGCCACAATTCCTTCTCCATTCTCCTCTCGGGATCTTGGGCACATATGCACATGTTCCTGGCATGAGTTTAAGTCATCAGGTCCAGGACGTGAACTGTAGTTGACTATGTGGGAGTCCAATGTAACTATTACGCCATTTGGTGGTTTTACACACACACACACACACACACACACACACACACACACACACACATTTTAAAAATGATTTATTATTATTTTTCAATCTGACCAGAGACAGAGAGAGAGAAAGTCACCCAGTCCGGGACTCAAACTGTGGTTGGCCATGTGGGAGTCCAGCGCCTTTTAACGACCACACCCCCTGCCAGCTCTGGTCCCATATATGTTTTTTTGGTTTTTTTTTGAGAGGTTTTTGCTATAGGGTGTGTGCACTCACCAGACAGACAGACAGAAAGCAAGAAATCACCCCCCAGGGGGGATGGTCACGCCACAATCCCTTCTCCTCCATTCTCTTCTCGGGACCTTGGGCATGCACACACACGTGCCTGGCGTGAGTTTAAGCTACCGGGTCTGGGACTCCAACCGCGGTCGACTACGTGGGAATCCAGTGACATAGTCATTACGCTAACTGATGGTCCCTGGTCCCATATATATTTTTTAAAGTCATATAAACCTGAGGTTTGCGAGCTCTTTTAGTTCTTGCTCACCATTCTTCTCTAAGGGCAGTATTTTCTGTTCTTTTTTTCTATTTTTAATTTGAACTATTTATTTACTTTAACTTGACCAGAGAGGGACAGAAAGAGAGAAAGAGAGAAAGTGAGAAAGAAGAGAAAGAAGGAGAAGCAGGGACTTTCTGAAAGCCGCAGTCTGTATTACTAGTATAATAAAAAAGTAAGTATATCACCGCTTCTTGAGAAACTTAAAGTGGTCTTTCAGAAGGAATGAAACAGGCAATAAAACAAAGCTTATACCTACATATTGGTGATACTGACTTCAGGAAATTTGTAACTAATCTCAAAAATTCGTTGGGACCAGCACTTAGTGTCATGGCTATGTCAACAAGACTCCTATGTAGTCGACCACGATTTGAGTCCCGGACCTGGTGGCTTAAACTCACGCCAGATGCGTGTGCGTGCGTGCCCAAGATCCCAAGAAGAGAATGGAGGAGCAGGGACTGTGGCGTGACCCACCATTCTTCTCTAAGGGCAGTATTTTCTGTTCTTTTTTTCTATTTTTAATTTGAACTATTTATTTACTTTAACTTGACCAGAGAGGGACAGAAAGAGAGAAAGAGAGAAAGTGAGAAAGAAGAGAAAGAAGGAGAAGCAGGGACTTTCTGAAAGCCGCAGTCTGTATTACTAGTATAATAAAAAAGTAAGTATATCACCGCTTCTTGAGAAACTTAAAGTGGTCTTTCAGAAGGAATGAAACAGGCAATAAAACAAAGCTTATACCTACATATTGGTGATACTGACTTCAGGAAATTTGTAACTAATCTCAAAAATTCGTTGGGACCAGCACTTAGTGTCATGGCTATGTCAACAAGACTCCTATGTAGTCGACCACGATTTGAGTCCCGGACCTGGTGGCTTAAACTCACGCCAGATGCGTGTGCGTGCGTGCCCAAGATCCCAAGAAGAGAATGGAGGAGAAGGGATTGTGGCGTGACCATCCCCCCTGGCGGGGTGATTTCTCGCTTTCTGTCTCTCTCTGTCTTTCTGGCCAATGCATGCGCCCTATAGTAAAAAACTCTCCAAAAAAAAAAAATCATTTTAGACTATTTTACCTCCTTTTCAATTTGTATCTTAAAAGCATTAGGACTTCATGTGTGTCAAACATTAGAATCTCTTCCCCCCAGTTCCCTTCCCTTCATTTTGGCAAAAAGAAACCTAGATATATAGTTGTAAATGTGCAAAGCGAAGGGCTTATACAATATGCAAAATGGGGACTACTGTGAATCACAGCTGCTGAATATACAACTGGAGATACTTACTTTTAAAATACTTACCTATTTTTTTAACCTGCTAATAAACAATAAAGTATGTCCTAGAGGTTTTCCAAAAAGTGAACAAGGGAAGATGCCAGTGATGCAGAAGTCATTGCATGGCAAGACCCGCCCCCCTCCTTTTTTTTTTTTTTTTTTTTAATTAGGGAAGGAAAAGGGGAAGGTGGTTGTTTTTTGGGTGAGGGCTGTCTGTTTGTTTTGATAGGGTCTCAACAACATCATGCCATAGCCTCTCAGTTAGCTAGGATCACCTATTCAGATTGGTTCAAGATGGGACCTGGGCTTCTGTGCAGAACCAGCACCCTACAGCAGTACCCCACGGCTTAAGTTACTGCTCCTGGGTCCAGACACTTACTTTAGCTGGTCCCAACCCAAGCTGCAGTAATGACTAATTATTTTAATACCTCTTACTTTTTTTTTTTTTAAATCTACCTATGCTTTTATACTGTGATATAAAGAAAAACAGAATAAAATATTCTAAGTGCTGCTACCTACCTTATGTCGGTAATGACAATAACGTGCTCACAATCTCCCTGGTGACAGTATAAGTAGGGAAAACCCAGCTTAATATACAAGTCATTGAAGGTGAAATCTTCCATTCTAGCAGTCTGAAACTTTCCATAGCCTCTATCATGGGACTCTGACCACTCGATGATAGTTCTGAAGGGGGACAGAAGGCAAAGGGACATATGGTTGCTTCACAAAAACTTTAGTATGACATAGAAGGGTTTGTGACTGCAGTTATTTCACATATCTGGCTCATCCAACTAACTGGACAGTTGCCATTCTGAGATGAAGACCGCAGTGGTTGGTACACGGTAGGGTTAGGAACACGGAATCTGTCTTCATCTGTTAGAGCAGCAGCCCTCAAAATAGGCTCCCTGATGTCAAAACGACCTTTGCAAAGATGAAGATTATTACCTGCCCTTTTCAACCCTTTTCTGAGTGATTAGTTCTCTGGAAGCTATATGATACATTTCCCTTTAGCTTGAGTGCAAAATACTGGGTCACTGGAAAAGTCATGATGCATTTTTTACACAGAAAAATATGTCATGACTTTTCTGTCAACCCAATATGTAAAAATACTATTCTTTTTACTATCTTATTTTGGAAAACATTTTTCCACAAAAATGTTTAACATGTAATGTAAAACATTTTTACACTTCATTATATGAACATGTAATGAGATTTTAAATGAATATTTTAAATAGTTCTTTGTTTCAACTTTTAATATGGCAAATATTGATAGCTACAAACCACATAAGCAATAGCTCTTTGGGGCCCTCAACTACCTACAGTGTAAAGGACAGCTGAGACCAACAAGTTTGAGAATTGCTATATTAGTGTAGAGATCAAAAGAATGGCTAAGATAAAAGAGGATTTACATACACATTTAGGAAAAAAATGTGGCCTAGTTAAGATATTTTATTTATATATATATATATGTGTGTGTGTGTGTGTGTGTGTGTGTATTGATTTGTCAAGTCATGTACTTAAACAACATTTCATATATATCCATTCAGCTAGGACAAACAAGAATATATACTGGACAAGTAGAAGAAATAGTAAAACATTACTTAACCACTGTTGCTTAAATATGAAGACATTAATAGAGTATTTTAGTGGGTAGATATGTGTTTGTGTGTGTGTGTGTGTATATATATATATACACATGTAATACTCAATAGGAAATTTATAAATAATTCCTTGGCAAAGATCTCAAACAGATCAAAATAGCATTTGTGGAGATATCACTGTATTAAGTAAAAATAGGGAAGACTGAGAAGACTTTTGAAAAAGTGTACCTGCTTAAATCTCTGCATTCTGGGAATCTTCTATCATTGTAAAATGTTCCTTCAAAATAAAAGAAGGCTGATTTGTATAGATCCTGCAAGAAAACAGATGGTATTGAGAGAAAGCCTACTACTGACAATTATGAAACCGTTGTAAGTATTAATTCAAAATTTATGAATCATCATAAAATCACACTAATATGTGTTACAATAACTCTATGGAACTTTACAGAATGTGTCTGACTCATCAATTTGTTTAAATTTTTTTAATTTCCAGAGGGCTCATATGCTGATGAAAGAGAGAGAAGAGAGAAAGTCAACCCCTCCCCAATGGGATGGTGGTCATGCCACATTCTTTTTTCTTCTATTTCTCCATCCCCTCAAGATTTTGGGCAGGCATGCACTTTTACCTAGAGTGTTTATCAAGCTCCCAGAGATGGAATTCAACTGGCGTTGGCCACATGCGATCTGGCTCCCTATGTACAGAACTTAATCACTGTGCTATGGAGCCAGCGCTGAAATTTGTTTAAAATTGAATGAGAACCTAGTATGTGACAAGTACTGTGTTAGTTAGAAGGGCTAAAGGTATGATTCCTTCTGTTTTCAACTTTATCCTAGTGCTACTTTAACTACTTGGTTTGATTTAAATTTGTGTATTCTCTTGAAATTAACAAAAGGAACCCAACTAGAAATCAAATAAATTTCAATATTACTTTATTATATGCATACACAGCAATGACAATCATATTGGATGCTAGAACTAAAAAACTAAACAAAGTCCGATCTTTGGTGCTTTCCCCAGTAATAATGATTGTTTCTTTTACAAAAGTTCTTTTTATATTTCTAATAACTCTCAGGAAGATGGAATATGAATTTCTGTTCTTAAACAATCTTGCCCCAGGTATAAAATCAGTAGTACAAGTGGTCTGAACCTTTGGGTTTCCTAATATTTATTCTACCAGATTTTCTAGTAAAGGAGTGGCTTAGTATTGACTACATATAGAATAAAAAAATGCCAAAGACCAAGTCTCACTTCAGAGTCATTAAATGAGAATCTCTGAGGATGTCATTTAGGTATTAGTATTTTTACAAAGCCCCAGAGTTGAAAACCACTCTATCAAATTCATCCTACACATTATGCTTGGAAATAGATCACCAAAGGAAGATGAGAAGACCTGAATTCTTTCCATAAATCTACCTCTTGTTTTGTGACTTGGTATGTAACAATCTCTCCTCAGATACCATTCCCTCACCTGTATAATGAGAATAATATCTGTCATGGTCCCTTACAAGACTGTGGTTGAGAATCACATGCAATTTATGATTTATAACAGAAACATGGAGCTAATGCATAGTACAGTGGTTAGCACTGTATGGAAGGAGCCAGAAACCACATGACCAGCCACTGAATCCTGGTCCCTGGGGCTTGAAAAATACACCATGTACCTGTGATGGGAAAGAAGAATGAAAAAAAGGAGGACTGTGGCAAAAACCAGGGCCCAATGCCATGCACATACAACCAATGCCATACAACCTCTAGCATTAAAAATTTATTTTCAATGTTAAAAAAGTGAAGGGTTGGCTCCATAGTCTAGTGGTTAAAGGAGCCAGATCCCACATGACCAACTATAGTTTGACTCTCAGCACCAGTAGCTTGAAAAACATACCAGGTGTGTATGCGTGCAGGCCCCAAATTCCAACAAGATAGAGAAAGGCCATACCACACGATATGCAGGGTGAGCTGGGGAGTTGCTTTCTCCACCCTCTCTTTTTATAGAGTGCAATTTAAAAGAAAACAAGAATTGTATGGACGTAGAAAGCATTTGCTGGAATGTTGATGAGCCTGCTAGAATAATCACTGTTTCTTTAGCTTGTTATTATTTCCTTTTGTTTTGTGGGAGGGAGAATCACCTTACTTTGCTGATGTGCTCAGGAGCCTGGTCAGGAGTGTTGCTGAACTCTCCGCCAATCTGGAGGTCACTGACGCAGCATATGGAATCCCTCAGTTCTGTGAGCTTTTGACTACCCAATACCAGCATCGTCTGGTACGGTTTGTGTTCTTTGTGCTACAAGTCAAATGACAAATAAGTGTCCACTTACAGACCAAACAGTTAAACCACAAATCCTGTCCCAATCAGATGTTCAATTGTCCCTCTAACTTGGTGTTATGTTAAATACGTTTCCTTAGATTCTGTATTTATCTATTTTGTATCCAAGAATTACAGGCCCAGACTAATGGTCACCGTTGTTTACGTCTCCCCTGCGATCCAGGGGATCCACTTTTTTTATCCAGCTCTTACATACCAAGCCAATACCTATCTTCCCTGGTATCAAATTAGCCTTAATCAACTGAGGCCAGGTGCCAGAAAACAAGAGACAGTCTGCATGCCCCAAAGCTCACTGGAACTATTCAAACTAGCTAACCAGAAATCATTTATCCTCCCTGCCTTGTCATTCCGGCAGAGACCCAGTAACCGCTGTGGTCTATGCCATCCCCTCTCTTTTCGGCCTCCTCAAGAAGACTGGAGCTTCCCCCTCTGACTCTGTGCCATTGAGCATGTTGTGTCCCCTCCTCTTGAGAAACGTAAGTAATAATCTTCTTTCAAAAGAATTGGCCTGTCATCTGTTGGTCACTTAAATAAAAATCCCATGGGTACATAAGACACTTTGCAAGTGAACCTTTCAAGGTTAAGTTACTAAAACGGCATTTTGTGGCATGGCCATTCCCCTGGAAGGGTGATTTCTCACTTTCTCTTTCACTGTCTCTATCTCTCTCTCTCTAGCACATGCACAAACCCTAAGGCAAAAACCTTTAAAAAAAAAAAAAAGGTTAAGAGATTTTAAAATATAACTTCATTTAGCAGCACTGTCTTTAAACTTTTCTTGCAAGTTACCACATTAAAGTCAGATAATCTATATCCTATCCTCAGGTTACAAATATAAAGGTTCATTTGAGGGGCTTTTATTTATTTATTTTGCTACAGGGCACATGCGCTCACTGGAAAGACAAAAAGCGAGAAAGCCCCGGGGAATGGCCACCCCACAATCCCTTCTCTATTCTCCTCTCTGGCACTTGAATGAACAAGTGCCCAGTGTGAGTTTAAGCCACCAGGTGTGAGACTGAACCATAGTCAACCACATGGGAGTCCAGTGATGTAACCATTAAGCCATCTGCTGGTCCTGGGGATGTTTTTTAAAAACTGGAAACTTGAGGGCTTTTTTTTGCGGGGGGGGGGGGTTTTTTTTGTTTTTTTTTTTTTTTTTTTAGATTTTTGCTATAGGACATGTGCACATGCCAGAGAAACAGAGCCAGAAAGCAAGAAATCACCCACCCGGAGGGATAACCACACTGAATTCCTTCTCCATTCTCTTGGGATTTGGGGCATGCACACACATGTGCCCAGCATGAGTTTTAAGCTGTTAGGCCCAGGACTCAAACCATAGTTGACTATGTAGGAATCTAGTGACGTAATCATTATGCCATCTGCTGGTCTTGAAACTTGAGATCTTAATCAAACAAGGTAATTAGTATTAACTGCATCTCAGAGGCTTCATAAAAACGTATTTATTCATAAGTACAATTTTATAGCAGTATTTCAATTAAGCTTCATCAGAATTTATGACACATCTACCTGGGAAATCAAGAAAATATACACAGTGCCAGCAGGTGGTGGCATGGTGGTTAGGAGCACTGAACTCCCACATGGTCGACTGTGGTTCAAGACCCAGATCTGGTGCCATGCTTTCTCACTTCCCTTCTTTCTCTCTCACTATGTCCCTCCCTGGTCAAATAAAAAATAAATAGGGGCCGGAAGGTGGTGTGGTTAAGGGTGCTAGACTCCCACATGGCCGACTGCAGTTTGAGTTCTGGACCTGGCTGCTTTCTCATTCTCTCTCTGATTCTATTTCTCTCTGGTCAAATTGAAATAAATAAATAAATAAAAATTAAATAATTCTTTTTTTAAAAAAAGAAAATACACACACACACACACACACACACGGATGGACTAGGGTTCTCTTTATTAGAGACTCCTAGAAATTCCTGGATACCCTGACCTATTAACTTCCTACATTTTTCTCAAAAAAGAGCTATCTTTACTTAGTTCAGTAACTTTCCAAGTATTTTGAATTCATGAACAAAGCTAATTCTACTCCTCCACCAGCAACCTACTCTGCAATTTAAAAAACCTCAAAAATTAATAGAATTAGAATCAATTAATTTAAAAGTATCTCCAGTTGCTTCTCACACAGAAGGGACACGTCCCGATACTACAGTCCTCTAAACAAGACTGAAATTTCAACTTATTTTCAATATTCTTTATTAAAATAACCCAAGAACAGACTGTTGACTCTAAAAATAAGGTGTCAAATAGCTAGCACATGCTTGTATTTTTCTTGATTAACTTTATTCATTCGTTCATTTATTTATTTCAATTTGACCAAAGAGGGACAGAGAATAAGTGTGTGTGTGTGTACATGTAAGAGAGAGAGAGAGAGAGAGAGAGAGAGAGAAAGTGAGAAAGCAAGCTGCCAGGTCTGGGACTTGAACCACAGTTGGTCATGTGGGAGTTCAGTACCCTTAAGCACCACACCCACCTACTGGCCCCCAATGCTTGTATTTATGTTGAACCCCAAGGAATGTGACTCTTCAAATAATTAAACACTTTGATAAAAGTTACTCTATTATTCATAAAACCCAAAAGGTTTAACTACTGACCTTATGGAATATAACAGGATACAAGATGTTCACATATAGGATAAGCTCCCCTTCTTCAACCATGTCTGCTGGATTTTCAGGCTTTTTCCCCATGGCATGTGACTCCTGAAGAAAGAAAAAGAGACGTTGAAGCCAGACATTGAAACAGATAAACGGCAGTGCTGCATAATGGCAATCTGCAGGGGCTTCAGTCAGACAAACCTCATCTACTTCAGAAACTTAATTTTAAAAAGTAATTATTGGGAACCAGCAGTTAGCGTAATGGCTATGTCGCTGGGCTCCCACGTAGTCGACCGCGGTTCGTGTTCTGGACCCGGTGGCTTAAAACTCATGCCGGGCGCATGTGCGTGCGTGCCCAAGATCCCGAGAGGAGAATAATGGAGAAGGGATTGCGGCATGGCCATCCCCCCCGGGGGGTGATTTTTCACTTTCTGTCTCTATGTCTCTCTCTCTCTCTCTGTCTGGTGAGTGCATGCGCCCTGTAATGAAAACCTCTCCAAAAAAAGGTAATTATTTATTTAATTTCATTTATTGCTACTTTTTACATTTCACCAGAGAGAGAAAGGGAAAGTGAGAAACCAAGCCACCAGGTCTGGGACTTGAACTGAGGCCAGCCATATGAGAGTCCAGCACCCACCGTGCCACCTGCTGGTACCATACTTCAGAAAACGTTAAACCACTCTAAAGTTTAGTTATATTTTCTATAAAAACACAGAAAATTGCTTTCCTGTTGCTTGGAATGTATATATAAAGCATCTAATAAGATGTTTGGCACTAAGTACATTTGGTAATAAAACAGAAATATCAACTTATACTGGTATGATATCGGCATTTCCAGTCTAACACTTTTTTCCACACTTTATTTAATATTCTTTAAAAAAAAAAAAGTTTTTTGCCTTGGGGGAGGGAAGCATGTGCTTACCAGAGAGAGACAGAGACACGGAGAGGGAAAGTGAGAAATCACACCCCCGACCCCCAGTGGGGATGGCCACACTGCAATCCATTCTCCTCCATTCTCCTCCCAGGATCTTGGTCATGCACACACACATGCCCAGCATGATTTTCCAGCCACTGGATCTGGACCTTGAACCATGGTCAGTCATGTGGGAGTCCAGTGATAAAACTGCTATGCCATCTGCTGGTCCCTTAATATTCTTATAAAAGCCATTTAAAAGATAAAGCTCAGAGGTTCAGTGATTTACCAAGGTCACACTAGAGTTAGGATACAAATACAGATCTGTTTGGCTCTAAACCTCTTACTTTTTTAATAACATTCTCACATCTTTTTTTTTTAATATTTACTTACGTATTTAATTTCATTTATTTTTTAATTTGATCAGAAAGAGAAAGAACGAGAGAGAAAGGGAAAATGAGAAAGTAAGCCGCCAGGCCCAGGACTCAAACCCACAGTCAGCCATGTGGAGGAAACCAGCACCCCTAACCACCACTCTACCTGCTGCACACCCCCCTTTTTTAAAAGAGAGATGTTTGCTACAGGGCACATGCTTTCATGGAGAGACAGAGACAGAAAGCGAGAAATCACTCCCCAGGGGGATGGCCACACCATCCCTTCTCCTCCATCCTCATCTCTCTCCTTCTCCTCTCAGGATTTTGGGCACATATGCACAGGCACCCAGCCTGAGTTTTAAGCCGCCAGGTCTGGAACTCAAACTGTGGTTGACCACGTGGGACTCCAGCGTTGTAGCCATTACGCCATCTGCTGTTCCCAACCGTCACATCTTTAGTATCATATTCTTGCATGTGCATGCCCAGAATCCCAAGTGGAGGAGAAAGGACTGTGGCATGGCCATCCCTCCAGGGATGCTTTCTCACTTTTTCTCTCTCTCTCCGTCTCTCTCCCACAAGCATGTACCCTATGGCAATTAATAAAACAAGGCAGGCCCCATTGCCTAGTGGTTAAGGGAGCTGAATCCCACCTGGTCCACTGTGGTGTGAATCCTAGCCCTGATGGCTTGAAATTACAAGGGCACGTGTGTGTATGTGTGTGTGTGTGTGTTTGTGTGTGCATGTGTGCGTGTATGTGTGAGAGAGAGTGTGTGTGTTTGTGATATGTGCCTAAAATCCTGACAAGATAGAGAAATGGAGAGGAACTGTAGCATAATCACACCCACTGTGCTTTCTCCACTCTGTCTCTTTCTGACAACAACACGTATCCTCTGGCAATCTATAAACAACAAAAGAAAAACCTCAATCAATCCTTCAATATTGTATACATTGAAACACTCAAAGAATTAAACCCAAAGCTAACAGTAAAAAGAAAGGTTGAAGTGGAGATAAATGAAACAGAATAGAAAAACAACATAGAAAAATCAAGGAAAATAAAAGTTCTTTTAAAAATTATTGAATTTGGTAAACTTTTACAACACTGATTTTAAAAACAATGCTAGCCCCATAGTTCAGTGGTTATGGTAGCCAGAACCCACATGGCTGATCAAGGTTCAAATCCAATGGTTTGACAAATATGCCAGGTACATGTGTGTATATGCCCAAAATCCAAACAGGAAGGAGGAACAGAGGAAAAAGACGGGACAGACCACACAACACGGAGGGTGCTCACTTTCTATCTCTAGGCAAATGCAGGTGCCATCTGGCGATACAAAAAAAAAAGAAAATAGAAAGAGGCTCAAATTACTAACATCAGAAATTAAAGTGGAAACATTCCTACTGATTTCATAGAAGTAAAAGGATTATGGGACCAGCAGATGGCGTAATGGTTATGTTGCTGGACTCCCACGTAGTTGACAGGATTCAAATCCTGGACTGGTGGCTTAAAAAAACTCACACCAGACACATGTGCATGTGTGCCCAAAATCCTGAGAGAATGGAGGAAAAGGGACTGAGGCATGACTATCCTCCCCAGGGGGTTATTTCTCACTTTCTGTCTGTCTCTCTCTGTGTCTCTGGTGAGCGCATGCACCCTATAGCAAAAATCTCTCTAAAAAAAAAGAAATAAAAGGACTATAAGAGAAAACTATTAACTATTTTATGACAACAAATTGGATGACCTAGACAAAAGGCACAATTTTTTAGAAACATACAAACTAACAAAACTGACTCAAAAAGTAGAAAGTCAAAATAGAATCATTAATGAAAAACCTCCCAATAAAGAAAAGTCCAGGACCAAAGGCTTCACTGATTTCTACCAAACATTTGAGAAACGTGCTTCTCTAAGTCTTCCAAAAAAAATTCTGAAGAGGAGTGACTACTTCCTAACTCATTCTATGAGGCCAGCATTATCCTGGTATGACAGCCAAAGACACTACCAGAAAAACCACTGACCAAAAAAAGCCCTCATGAATGTGAATGCAAAAATTCTCCACAAAATTCTAATAAGCCAAATTCAGCAGCAAGTTAAAAGGATTATACATACAATCAAGTAGGATTATATACTACAACCAAGCAAGATTTATTCTTGGGTAATTTAACATCAGTAAATCAATCAATATAATATACTCCACTAATAAAATGATGTGGAAAAAACATATCATTATCTCAACTGATACAGAAAAAGCATTTGACAAAAACTTAACACCCTTTCATGATAAAAACGCTCTACACTAGAACAGAAAGGAACCTCTTCAACATGATGAAGAACATATATGTAAACCCCATAGCTAACATCATACTCAATAGTGAGAGACTGAAAGCTTTTCTCCTAACATCAGTAAGAAAAGGCTTCAATTTCATACTCTCATACTTTAATATTGGAAATTCTAACCAGAGAGTTAGAAAAGAGAGGGACAGTGACCAAACAGGAAAGGAAGAAATAGTCATATGTATTCATAAATGACAATCTTTTTGAGAGTTTTTTTTTTTTTTTGAGAGGTTTTTCTATAGGGCACGTGCGCTCGTCAGAAAGACAGAGAGAGAGACAGAGAGATAGAAAGCAAGAAACCACCCCTCCCCAGGGGAGATGGCCACGCCGCAATCCCTTCTCCTCCATTCTCCTCTTGGGATCTTGGGCACGCACACACGCATACGTACCCGGCGTGAGTTTAAGCCACTGGGTTCGGGACTCGAACCGTGGTCGGCTACATGGGAGTTGAACTACATAGCCATTACACTAACTGCTGGTCCCCTGAGAGATTTTTTGCTTCAGGGCACATACACTCACTGGAGAGACAGAGCGATACAAAAAATGAAAAATAACCCCACGGTGGGGGGATGGCCATGCCGCAATCCCTTTTCCATTCTCCTGGGATTTTGGGCACATAGGTACACATGCCCAGTTATTTCAAGTCACCAAGTCTGGGACTCAAAACACACTGTAACATACTACGCCACCTGCTGACCCCAACTGACATGATCTTATATGTACTAAATTCTAAGAATTCACAATAACTAAAAAAAGTTGGAATAAACAAATTCAACAAGTGACAGTATACAAAATCAACATACATTAGCAATGAACAATTTGAAAAAGAAAGTAAATTTACAACCGCATCAAAAAGAATAAAAGAGGGAGAAATTTAACCGAAGAAGTAAAAGACTTATATGTTAAAAACTACACACTACAATTGGAAGATATTAAAGGGACTAGCTCCACGACCTAGTGACTGGGGGACTGGATTCCACATGAGCAATAGCAATTTAAATCCTGACCCTGGTGGATTGAAAGACACAACAGGCACATGTGCATGAGTTCTCAAAATCCTGACAGGATAGCGAAATGGGAGAGAATGGATTGTGCCACACTGCACTTCACTGAGGAGTTCTTTCTCCTTTCTGTGTGTCTCACACACATGCTCCCTGGAAATTTGTTTTTTAAAAAAGGAAGAAATGAAATTAAAGAAAGCCTGAACAAATATAAGGAGCATCTTGTTCACAGGTTGAAAGACTATATTGTAAAGACAACAGGAACCAGCAGATGGCATAATGGCTATGTCACTGGACTCCTATGTAGTCAGCCGTGGTTCAAGTCCCGGACTTGGTTACTAAAACTCATAGTGGGTGCGTGTGCGTGCATGCCCAAGATCCCTAGAGGAGAATGGAGGAGAAGGAACTGCGGCATGGTCATCCCCCTGGGGGGTGATTTCTAGCTTTCTGTCTCTCTGTCTTTCTGGCGAGCACACACACCCTAACAGCAAAAACCTCTTAAAAAAATAAATTAAATAAATAAATAAATTGGGACCAGCAGATGGCGTAATGGCTACATTGCTGGACTCCCATGTAGTTGACCATGGATCAAGTCCCGGACCCAGTGGCTTAACCTCATGCTGGGCATGCGGGTATGAGTGCCCAAGATTCTCTCTCGCTCAGTCTATTTCTCTCTTTTTCTCTAGTGAGCACGTGCACTCTATAACAAAAAAATTTTAAATAAAATAATGGCTATGTCGCTGAACTCTCATGTAGTCAAGTCCCAGACCCGGTGGCTTAAACTCACGCTGGGTGCGTGTGTGTGTGCGTGCCCAAGATCCCGAGAGGAGAATGGAAGAGAAGGGGTTGCGGTGTGGCCATCCCCCTGGGCGGTGATTTCTCGCTTTTTGTCTCTCTGTCTCTTTCTGTCTTTCTGGTGAGCGCACGCGCCCTATAACGAAAACCTCTCAAAAACAAACAAACAAAAAAACCACCAATAAAAATGTAAAAGTATGTAGGTTGGCCAGAACCAGAAGCAGAACAAAATGACCAGGTTAGGGTAGTGAGAAGTCATAAATTTAGCGTAATACTGAGGGGAAGATCAAATTAAGAGCAAAAATAAAGGCAGAAATCTGAGTTAAGTATGTTGTAACAAGATATGGGACATTTTCTTTCACTAGCTCCCTGTTCCCAGTACAGTTTCTCTAGTTTGTCTGCAGCTAAGCATATCCGGTGTAAAGCTGCCATCCAGTCATCACAAACACTCAGCCCACTGTCTCTCGTGTGGGGAAAAGAGTGAAAAAGACAAGAATCGTACCATCTCATACGCAAATGTTTCCTGTCTGCAGACGCGATCTATCGTTATGGTTTCTTCCCGATGCTCCAAGAACTTCTTTCTAGCCCTGTTGTGGATATGAGAAAAATCAAAGTTCAATATTATTTACTGGGGATTCAAAAACACCTTTAATATTTATTTTTATTTTGAAATGATTTTAGCTTTCAAGAAAAGTCCCAAAAATAGTCGAGTTCCCTTTTATCACTTGCCTTGCTTCCCTTAACAGTTTACATGAATACTGAATAATTGCCATGAATAGGAAATTAACATTAATTTTGGTTGCATTTTGCACAAGAAAAAAAGGCATCATGACTTTTCTGAAAACCTAATATAATATTACTAGCTAGGGGCTTTTTTCAAATTTCACACAATTTTAAATGTAATGTCTCTTTTTTTGTTGTTGTTTCAGGCTGCTGTTTCAGGTTGCTATCCAGGATCCCATGTGACATGCTGTCTCTTCAATTCCTCAACCCCTACTTGTCTTTCCTGATCTTGACACCTTTGAAGCTCTAATAAGCTATTTTCTAGAATGTCCTTCAATTCGGTTTGACTACTGTTTCTTCCTGACTGGAGTACAGATAGCATTTTTGGCAAGAATAAGACAAGAATGACATTCTTCTCAGTGCATCTTATCAAGAGGTTCATAATGTTAATATAGCACGTTAATAAGGTCATGTTTGCCTTGATTAAAGTTCCCATCTGCCAGGTTCCTCCACTAGAAAGACACATGCTTCTCTCTGAACCTTACAAATATCTGATAGGAGATAGTTTGAGACTATGCCACTTTTGTTTCTCCTCAAATTTTTACCCCAAAATTTTAACATTCACCAGTAGCTTTTGTCTGTAACGTTTTTTACTGTAGTATTATATCTCAAATGTTGATTCTATTTCCCTCCTGCACTTATTCACTAGAATTCTATTAAAAAGAACCATCTCTTCTTGGGGTCAACAGGTGGCATGGTGGTTAAAGAGCTGGAATTTCCACGTGGCTGACTGTGGTTCAAGTCCTGGACCTGGCAGCTTGCTTTCTCACTCTTCTTCCTTTCTCTTTCTCTGGCAAAACTCATGTGAAAAAATAATAATAAATAAAATAAAATAAATAATTTTTTAAAAATAAAAAGAACTGTCTCTTCTCAATCCTTTATATTGGTATAAATACATAGCTATGTATTTTAACTATTATATTATATAAAATCTAATCCTATCATTATTTTGTTGTTCAAACTGATTCATTAGGATCTCTTTCAGGTTGGCTGCTATTCTTTCAACAAAGCCTAAAGAACATAACCATGTATACTAAACCATGCATGTACAAATACATTTTTATATTTTTCTTTTATACATTTAAAACCATGAGTTTATACTAATTTCTGATCTCAATATGTCTTCTAATGACTACACCAAGACTACTGATTATTGTTTATCTTAATTTTTTTTTTGGAGGGGGAAGAGGTCTTTGCTGTATCAATTGCACAGCTAATATCAGAAGTACACTGTTGCAAAGTAGTGAAGACAGCAGGTGTCCTTGCTTGTTCCAGACCTTAGCAGAGACTGTCTGTACTGCTTCTTTATTAAATAAGATACTAGCTTTACTAAGATACAAGGTTATAAACACAGGATTCATTTCAGACTTTAACATTTCTTTGTTTATAACTTCTATCTCCATAAGAAATTTTATTTTATTACTGGCAACATTTTAACTTATCTGTTCAATCTACTAAATATATGTAGTAACAGAATTGTTCATTGCTCCACCTGTGAGAAACACTAATTTATGAACAGTTCTGTTTGTCTTCCACTTTATAATATTACATCAAGATAAGCTTTTTCTATTCTGGACTTTCGATGCTATTTCACTGGTCTGTTCATGTGTTCATGAACCAGTAACCACTGGGTTTTCTTTTCTTCTTTCTTTCTTTTTTTTTTTAGAGGTTTTTGCTATAGGGAACATGCACTCACCAAAAAGACGGAGAGAGACAGAGAGACAGAAAGGGAGAAATCACCCCCCATGGCGGGATGGCCATGGGGCAATCCCTTCTCCTCCATTCTCCTCTTGGGATCTTGGGCACGCACACACATGTGCCCAGAGCTAATTTAAGCTATGGTGTCCGGGACTCAAACCACAGTTGACTACATGGGAGTCCAGTGACACAGCCATTACACTAACTGCTGGTTCTGGCTTGTTTTTTTCTAAGAGATTTTTGCTAGGGCCAGCAGGTGGCATAGTGGTTAAGGCAGCTGGACTCCCACATGGTTGACAGTGGTTCGAGCTCCAGACTTGACAGCTTGCTTTCTTCTTCTTCTTCTTCTTTTTTTTTTAGAGGTTTCTGCTATAGGGCGTGTACACTCACCAGACAGACAGAGACAGAGAGATAAAAAGCAAGAAATCACCCCCCAGGGGGACGGCCACGCCACAATCCCTTCTCCTTCATTCTCCTCTCAGGATCTTGGGCACGCACTCACACACGCCCGGCATGAGTTTTCAGCCACTGGGTAAGGGGTGCGAACCGCGGTCGACTACGTGGGAGTCCAGCGACATAGCCATTACACTAACTGCTGGTCCCGGCAGCTTGCTTTCTCACTTTCCTTCTCTTTCTCTCTCTCTCACTCTCTCCCCGTCTCTCTCTGGTCAACTTCAATGAAATAATAAAAATTTTAAAAATGACAATTAATTCAGTAAAATAATTCTTTTTTTTTTTTTAAAGAGATTTTTGCTATAGGGCACATGTGCTTGACAGAGAGACAGAAAGCAAGAAATCACCCCCAGAGGGTGGTCACACGGCAATCCTTTCTTCTCCATTGTCCTCTCAGGATTTGGGGTACACGTGCCTGGCATGAGTTTTAAACCACCGAGTTTGGGATTCGAACTGCGGTCAACTACATGGGAGTCTCTCAACATAAACATAACCATTACACCATCTGCTGGTACCTCCACTGTTTTAATTATAAAGACTCTGTAGTACACTTTAATAATTGGTAAAAATTACTATGCCCTCATAATTTTCTGTCTCCCCAGAATTTGTGTAGCTATTCTTTTATTCTCAAAGAATTATTTTTATTTAACTTTCTTTCTTCTCTTCCTTTCTTCTTCTCCTTCCATCCCTCCCTCCCTTCCTTCCTGTCTTTCTTTCAATTTAACCAAAGAGGGACAGAGAAAGCTAGCTAGCTTCCTTGCTTCCTTCCTTCCTTCCTTCCTTCCTTTCTTTCTCCCTTTCTTTCAATTTGACCAAGGAGGGACAGAGAGAGAGAGAGAGAGGGAGAGAGAGGGAGGGAAAGTGAAAATGCAAACCACCAGGTACAGGACTCAAACTGCAATCAGCCATGTGGGAGTCCAGTGCCCTTAACCACCCTGCCACTGGCCTGTCCCTAGCTATTCTTTCATGTTTTCCATATACACTTTATCAACTTGTTCAACTCTATACAATAAGAGATAGTTTTGGTATTTTTATCGGATTGCATTGAATTTATAAATAAGTTTAGAAAGAACTGACATCATTAAAAGGTATAATCATTTTAAGAATGGGGAATAACTTTTAATTTCTTCAAGTCAGCTTCTGAGTCTTTCAAAAGTGTTGTAAATTATCCTAAATTTTACACATTTCTTGTTAAACTGTAAATAGAATGTTCTCTATCATTAAGTCTTTTAATGTATACACCAAGGCTAAGGATTTTTTTTTTTTTTTGAGGTTTTTGCTATAGGGCGTGTGCGCTTGCCAGAAAGACAAGAGAGAAACAGAAAGTGAGAAATCACACCCCAGGGGGATGGCCACGCCACAATCCCATCTCCTCCATTCTCCCCTTGAGATCTTGGGCACACAAGCACACGCGCCCGATATGGGTTTTAAGTCACTGGGTCCGGGACTCTAACCACGTCGACTACATGGGAGTCCAGCAACATAGCCATTAAGCTAACGGCTGGTCCCCAAGGTTACTGATTTTTATCTATCAATTTTGAATCTTGCTATTTCCCTGGATCCTTATTTGTTTGGGTTAGTTTTAGCATTGATTTCCTTGAGGTTTTCCATATCAACTACAAATAGACTACTACATTTTTCTTCTCTATCTCTTATGCCTCTGAGTTCTCATGCTATATTGCATAGCTCATATCAGTGGTCCCTGTTCCAATGTAGTGTAGATAGCAGTCCTCCTCACTTGTTCCAGACCTTCGTAGAAATGCTGGTACCTCTTACTTCTCTATTAAATAGACACTAGCTTTTCTCCTAAGATACAACTATTTTATCATGTTGAAACAGTGTGTATCTAATTTCTACTTCCCTGAGTGTTTTTTTGTTTGTTTGTATTTTGCAATAGAGAGTGTGCACTTACTAGAGAGAGAGAGAGAGAGAAGAGAAAAATGAGAAAATCCCCCCCAGGGGATGGTCACACCATAATCCCTTGTCGGGATTATGAACGCATTCTCCCCTTGGAATTTTGACATGCATGCTCATGATCCAGTCTTTTTCAAGGCGCCAGCTCTAGCACTCGAACCATGAGTTAGCTGCCCATGTGAGATCCAGCTGCCTAACTACCAAGCCACTGGTTGGCTGACCCTGAGCATTTATCATGCATAGGTGTTGAATTTTGTAAGGCTTTCTCAGCATCTCTAGAAATAATTGAATGGATTGAATGATTTATTGTTTGATTTATGAATATTAAACAATACCTCATATTCATAGATGTTCTCATATTGAACTAGTCTGCCATTGCAAAAATAAATCCAACTTGGTAATGTCAGTATCACCACACTAATCTTAATGTGGTGTTGGTGTCTGCTAATGTTTGACGTGTTGAGTGATACTGGTGTAAAGTTTTATTCTCTATACAGTCATTATATAGTTTAAGTATCAGTGTCATGTTTCCTTCATAAAAAGTAAGTTTTTCTTTATGGTCGAATAAAATAAATAAGTAAATAAGATAAAGCTTAATAAAATAATTCTTTAAAAGACAACAAAAATTTTTTTTTAATCTGTCAGAGCCAGCAAGTGGTGTAGTGGTTATAGCACTAGAATCCCATGTGGCCTATGGCAGTTCAAGTACTGGACCCCAGCTTGAAAATCACACCAGGCG